CAAGTATTTTTTTAGTTTTTTATGCTTTCCTTTTCTTTTTTTTTTTTTTTTTTTTTGTTAAAAACTGCATTTAGAGTTTTCATTGGTTAAAAGTATAAAATGGGATATGTATACACTATATAACTATCATCTGAGTGTTGATAATCTGACTTCAACTTGTGGAATTTACTGAAATGAGTTCTAATCTGAGAAAAAAATTTTTTTAAGAGATTTTGACAATGAAAAAAGTCAGTTCCTTAAATTTTATCATTTCCAATTAGCTCCAATTTCTTCCAGTACATTTGAGTCATGTAGGCAGAGTTACATCCAGTTACATACAGTCGAGTCAAATAAGGTTCATGTTGCGAATTATTCGAATTAGTGTTTCAGATCGATTCGTGCTTACATCTCTTCCTTTTTTTATGCTCAACATCCCTGGTGCATTTAATACTTTTCAAGTTTTGAAAATATAGCTACACAAAGGGAATCTGGGAGTTATATGTGATTTAGAAGTTTGCAATTTAAATTTTTACGGCTGTTTTTGTGAGCCTTCACGTGATGAGGATTTACACAGAAATCTGCGTAATGTCTCAGGAAAGCAGGTGATTAGATGTGATGTTTAAACTTGAAAAGATGTGGACATTAAATCCAGTGACCCTCTTGGCTCCCCATATGACCCTCTTGTCTGCCATATTGCAGCTGGGAAGCTGCGCTGAGATGCAGTTCATCAACACACTGGACTCGGCGAAATGTAAGGTCCAGGTTTTGTGGAGTTGATCTCAGACATTTGCACTGTGATTTCTACATTTTTATCACGTCAAGTGTCAGCATTGGCAGCTGAGCCCAAAATGATTTGTACTTCATGGCAGAATTAGATTTACAGAGATCTTTTATCACAAGAAAAACAACTATGCAGCCCCTAGTAGCAGTCAAATAATACTGACTCACAAGATTAAAAATAAAGAGACCTTCAGAAAACACACAACATAATACATCAATAGAAAGAAACATAAGTTAAGAAGTAACTTTTTTAAGTCACTGTACATTTAAAAAGGTGTGATTGTTCAGGTCAAAAGTTTGCGTTTTGAAAAACCATAAATTTGCGACTTCACGGACCAAGTGAAAGTTCCATTCAGTAAGACTGAAACATGCAAAGTGAGCCAGCTTATTTTAAAGGTTTCACAATTACAGGTAATACAGTAACAATTTAATTTTTACATAAGTATGATAAAATAAGTCTTTAATGCAGAAATGTTATGACATGCCCTACACATTCATAGGGAAGGCAACCACCACAAAAAGGTAAGTCAAAGGTTATATCTGACTGCAGCAATGCTGAGCTCAAATTGTGGCTGGAAAGAAAATGACCTTAATATCCTTTTATTTTATGTTGAGAAAATGCCCTTAAAATGATCCAGTTTTCATTAAAAATAAAAATTAAAAAGAGCTTCTTGGTCATTGGTTGACAAAGCATAATTTCTCCCCACACATGTTACATCTGGAAAACTAAAGACATCTTGCATAAAAACAAATCCTTATTTTACCCCCCACCTGGTTTACTCGCAGCATAGTTTTCGTTGCTCAACCATGATGGATATTTAATGACATATCAAGATTTTGTCACAAAATAGGACAATATAATTCCTATAAACAGGATTTAATACTGTAATTATGCAATCCCTGCTGAGGTAGTTATTTTACTTAGAAGTACAGAAAATGAGGTCAAACAATATCTCAAAATTATTGGAAATTCCACCTGTACTAAAACTTGCACCGTTGCGGCTGTCAATATATTATACTGTATTTTATTGTGTTGTTCTGTTTCATTTGTTTCAATAAAGATTTGAATTAAAAAACAGCTGACTTCCTGTTAGCGTAACGCCGTGCGACGTCACCACGCTAAGGCTCCTCCTTTCTCTAGTCGCCGCCGCCGCTAGCATAGTTAGCAGTTAGCTTCCAACAGCTGTCGGTGGCACTCAGTCAGCAAGCCTATCAGTCTGAGTGATTGTGCTTCCTTTAGAGAACCGCTGTGTTATTATCTTCAGGAGCCAGTTGTTTTTCTTTCCTGAGGGTTTTCTGTGGTATTATATTGTTGTCCTCGCCGTCACGATAGACAGAAGTCCTGGGACATGGCCAGACAAGAACAAGTCCTGGTGCTAGAGCCGCAACAGGAACTCAAATTCAGAGGTAACGCTAAGGCGGAGGGCAGGGCCGAAGTTAGGCTGCTAGCTCTAGTCGTTAGCCAGTATCTGTGTCAGCTGTTGGCCCTTTTATTATGTTGTTTTCTCATTGTGTCTTCAAAAGATGGGGGAAATATGTTCTTAGTTGGTGACGGATGAAACAGTTAACCTGTTGGCGTTTATTTGCTCTAACTAGCCGGATAAATTGCTAGCTGTCATTGCAGCGTCAGGACAGGCCGTCCATACCAATACTACAATAATCTTACACGCTTCCATTACCTTACTATTCATTTTCTGATGATGTGAAACACTCACAAGTTAGCTAATGTGTAGCACAGTTCCTTAAACCGGTTTTGTTGTGAACACATGCGCACCAAGAAGCGAATATTCTAGCATTTTCTACAAAGAGTTTGTCATTGCCTAGCCCCATTACCATGCTTATTGCTCAATGACCCAAGCTTGAAAGCCCAGACTGAAAGCTTTATCGTTCACTCTTAATTTCTAAGTAACCCGATTTCCTTCCCTAATTTGCTGCATTTAATCGGGCTTGTTGTGAAATCAGATGCTGCGTGTGTTTTACTAATGATCATTGTTTTCCCAGATGATTGTCGTTGGGCTCTCCTGTTGCTCTGGAAATTGTTGGACTAGCTTCATTGGATCAGTATAATGGAGGGTGGGGGGGAGGTCTCTGATTGATTGCTGCAGATCCTTGAATGCTAAGATGAGCCTAGAGAGGACGCACACGCATACACACACACACACACAGTTAGTGATGCTTTGTCTTAACAGTGAGCAGAAAGCACAGTCAGGTTGTTGGCACCAGATGACCTGAAGTTTTAAACAAGAGTTATGAAGCAGAAGCAGACTTTAAAGGCCAAGAGAAAGCAGAAGGCCTTTGACTCGCTCCGTGTTTTCTGCTGCATTCAATTTCCAACTAAGGGTGGGGCATTAAAAATAAATATTAAAGATGCTGCTGTTTTGGCTTCATTAAAGTCTGATTTTGTTGGGGGGTGGGGGGTTTTCCTACACTTAAACCGGGAACAAAGTTGTTTTACTAGATCCTTCTCATCTGTGTGTCAAACTGTGTTTCCATGTCTTACTTACTGCATCACATTACATTCTATTGAATGCATTTATAGACTGAAAATGCTGGAGTTTTCTGTGTTGATATATGGATAGAGAAAAATCTAATTTCTCATAATGTACTCACTGGTTTCCTTTTCTAGCAAATTGATCGGTCTCTTTGAGAAAGAATAGCTATAAGTTAATGGACATTCAAATGCTATCCTCTTCATAACATCTGAAGAAGATGTCTTACATTAAGTTTTTCACAATAGTGAAAATCCAACTTTTACATTTCAACGACTTTCATAACAAACACACAAGTCCTCAAGTCACCAAGTTTTTTTTTTTTTTTCTATCCCCCCTGCAGGCCCATTTACAGATGTTGTCACCGCCACGCTGAAGCTCACTAATCCCACAGACAGGAATGTCTGTTTCAAAGTTAAGACAACCGCACCTCGCAGATACTGTGTGCGTCCGAACAGCGGCATCATCGACGCTGGAACCTCCATAAATGTTTCTGGTTTGTAAACATATTTGGTTGAATTTTTTCATTTGTGTGGAAGAATTGTCCCAACGGCTCATACTAATAACAAGATTTAACGTTCTGAATGGAGTTCTAACCTGATTTGGAGCGCGAAATTTGCTATCTAAAGAAACATTTGATTCTGCTGGGAGAACAAAATGTTGTATTCATTGATTATTTCATCCTAAAAATATCTATATTAGTTCTGCCTAACGTGCAAAGGTACAAGAATTGGCACAATACAACTTTTACGTTGAAGTCTTGAAATGATGCATCCTTTTTTTAAGCAACCTTTTATTTTCATAAAATGGCAGAACTCACCAGGAAGTATAAAAATCTTAAACCATTTTTATTTTAATATTTTTTATGATCTTCAGAAGTATGGTTTCAGGTTTTCTGAATGTGTTTCAAAGCTGTTGCTGTTTTTACTGTGATTGCTTTTTCCCTCAGCTTCATCTCATCACTTTAGAAGTTATACTGTTTGTGCTCGTTTTAAGCAGCTTAACTCAAACTTATGAATTATTCAGACATAAAGCCTCCTAAACCTAATGGATAAACCAGGGTTATAGTATCTATGTGTAATATATAAGAAGGAAACAATTTTAAATGTATTTTGTAGATGCCTTCTTGCTGGCCTCTTCTTACAAAGATGCAGTTTCCTCCAAAGTCTTTAGCTCTATAAAAGGCTAGACCACATTAACACAAGATCAACAAAATGATTACAAATGGCTAAAAAACAGAAAGTACAAGTTAGGTTTTTTCATTGTTTTTAGAGCTTTCATTTGTGATTGTTCTCTTGTTTTTCTTTTTTTTTTTTATTATAAGCCCATGTTTCCAGTGTCCTCAACTTGTCCTCTTCCTGTTAGATTTAGGGTCTGTTGTTATGATTTTCAAAATGTTTCCTTATAAAGAATCTATATATTTCCAAGTTGCAGAATATGAGCAGTATTGATTGTATTTCATCGTCTCCTCTGCTCCACAGTCATGCTGCAGCCGTTTGAGTACGACCCCAACGAGAAGAGTAAGCATAAATTCATGGTGCAGTCCATTCTGGCTCCCAGAGACATGACCGACATGGAAGGAGTTGTGAGTATTAAGCTTTCAGTTGATTCACGAACCTAAAGATGGGTTTAAACGTGGCTCTGTCTCTTTCACTCTGTGCATTCATCTGAAAAAAAAAAATGTGCAGAAATGTAGTTCTGTTGATGTTATCTAGAGTTGAGGACAACAGTTTAGCTGCTGCAGCATCAAAGACGTCTGACTGAACAACAAGTGAATCCTGTTTGTTTGTGTTTGCAGTGGAAAGAGGCCAAACCTGAGGAGCTGATGGATTCAAAGTTAAGATGTACGTTTGAGATGCCTCTAGAAAATGACAAAACTGTAAGTATGAGTTACTTAGTTTTTTTTTCTTTTCTTTCCCACATTCATATATTTTTGCTCGCCACTGCATACATTTTGGTCAAATACAGATAAGTGTCATTTTTGTCATTCACACGATCCTGAGAGAAACGGATGTTTCTCTAATGAGTTCAACAATAAATGTCACATGTTGGTGAAATAGATTTTTGTCATGTTTTGAGTATCGTTCCAGTGTCCCGAGTCATTCATTACATGATGTTTGTATTAGGGGTTGCACCAGTTAGTCGACTATTTGATTCTTTTCTCTGCAATGACTTTTTTCTGGGCCAGTCGACTAGTCGCTATCACGTGACAAAACAGATTTTTCCAAGGAAATGAAAGAAGGTGAACTAGGCGAGTTTATCAGAAAGCTCAAATTGTATAAAAATGTAAATAATTTACCAAAGAGAAACTGAAAATGTCAGCATAGGTTACCGCAGTAGGGGCGTTGCGTGGCGCAGTAGTTACCGCATATAGAGACTTGAGACCGCGGTAGTCTGGAGTCCGACTCCCATCCTCGGTTGGGTGGGCCCAGGCCTCTCTCCGCTCTCTCTGCCCCCTTACGGTCAGATTGCTGTCAAATAAAGTAGTGCCGGAAAAATCCTAAAAAAAAAAAAAAAAAAAAAAAAAAAAGACTACCGGATTAATGTGCAACAATGCAGCATGATGTCAGGTTTTTTAATCCCTCACCTACACCCAACTGATCAGCGTCACCCTGCGTATTGAAGCTTCTAAACTGGCAGCTTAACAAAATATGATTTGACAACATCTGGAAACTAAGTCCAAATTTCATCCTGAGGGTCTGATAGAGGCGATCTCTGCCGCCGTCTGCATGTCGGTTCAGAGAGCCGCTGCTGAGTCAGCAGAGCTTCCTGCTGCGCATCGGGCGGAGGAGCAACAGGAGGCTTCGTTGAATTCAACTGTAACCAAACGGGATCCGTTCATAATAAGTTTGGTTTGTGATGTTCCAAAAGCACCATAGTGGTCAGTGTGATAGTTTGACTCCTATATGAGTAACTATCCAGAGATCATCAGTATCAGCCGGTGTTTGAAAAAAGAAAAAAGTCAGACCCGACTTTGTGCAACGAACTTTTCTCCGCTGCTCACAAAGAATAATCTGTTTATTGCTCTTTTAATTCTGCATAATAGACTTAGTAAAAGCAGGAAAACGGAATGGGGGCCCGAGGGGTGTCAATATTTGCCGTGAATATATCTGATAAAGCCTCCAAGTAGTTGTGAAGCATTTTGCGCTTGCGTCACTATGACATCACCGCGACTAGTCGACATCATGATTTAGTCGACCTTAAAAAATATGTAGTTGTTCAACCCCTAGTTTGTATTCATACATGTCTTGTGCCTGGATCTCACTCCCCGCCGCGTCGGCATGTTTTCTTTTTTTTTCCTTATTCCACTTCTCCTTCTTCCTCCCTCACCGCCATTCCACCCGCCCGCCCCCCACCCGCTCTCTCTCCGCAGCATGAGAGTGAAAGCATCAAACCTGTGTCTTCCTCTACCTCTGTTAAGACTGAGCACTCTGCGCTGCCCAAGTCAGCCAGCGCCTCCCTGGATGACGGGGAGGTGAAGAAGATCATGGAGGAGTGCAGGCAGCTGCAGATGGAGGTGCAGAGGCTACGAGAAGAAAACAAACAGATCCGGGTGAGAAGCGCTGAAACGGTGGCTCCAGCAGGTCCAGGCCGTTTCCCTCCTCCCTCCCTTTAGGGAAAAATATATTTCTGAGCCTCAGCAAGGCTAAAGTAAATATTTGGTTAAGTTTAATTTAGAGGAAAATACATATTTATACAATGAATATCAATGAGAGTATAGGGGGAATTGCTGGTATTTCCAGATTTTAATCCATATTCGATTGTCTAAATGTTAAATCCTTCATTTTTTGTCTTCTCCCTTCATGTCTTCATTTCTTTCTTGTTTCATTCCTACTTTTTTCATTCTTTTCTTCCTATTGTACTTCCTTCTGTCCTTTCTTCAGTGCTCTTTCTTTCTCTTCATTTCCATCTCACCTTACTTTTTTTCAAATGTTCTTTTGTCCTCTTTTCCTTCCTTATTTCCTTTTATCCATTCTGTTTTCTTCCTTTCTTCCCTTTGTGCTTCATCCTATCTTTACTTTTGCCCTTTCTTTCTTGGATCTTTCATGTTTTTCCTTTTTTCCACTCTAACCCAGTTTCCTTTTATTTGGGTCTTTATTTTTCTTGTCTCCCCAATGTTCTCCTTTTCTTCCTCCTTTCAATTTTCCTTACTTTCTTTCAAGTTGTCTTCTCTCCTTCCTCTGCCCCTCCTTCCTTGTGTCTTTCCTACTTTTGTTCCTTTCTTCCTATTGTATGTTCTTCTGTTCTCCTTCCTTCCTTGTGGTGTTTGTTTTTTCCTTCCAGTCTCTGGGTTTTGCAGCCTCCAAGTAAGCTTGTGTGTTTCTTCTTTGCTTCAGGAGGACGACGGTGTGCGGAAGAGAAAGATCACACCGATGGCTGCTTCTCACCCCAACCCCCTGGCTAGCACGGCCATGACGAAGGATGAAGGCTTGAGCACCCGCATCCTCGCATTGTGCTTGCTCTTCTTTGTGATTGGAGCCATCATTGGCAAGCTGGTCCTTTAGAGACACAGACTGAGCACAGTGACGGACGGATGGACGGACGCAGGAATGAAGGGACGGACAGCGTGTCTTAAAGGGCACGTACCAATGACGGCAACGGGGATGTCTGCTGGGTTTATGTTGATCTGTTTGCTTGTTTTCTTAACATTTAAAGCTACTAGCCAGGGGTTTTCTTCCTTCAACAACAATTGTGCAATCATGATAAAAACACAGCTGAGGAAAAACAAAAAAAAAAAAGTATAATTTTCCACTGCTGGACTTCACAATTTTTTATTTTTTTTTTTAACTGTGCGACTGAAGTAACCCCAGGCAATAAGGGTTGACGTTAGAGCCGCTGGCTTTAGTGAACGCTGTGGTGATCGGGCAACACTTAGCAGACTTTAGGTTTAAATTCAGGCCCATAGTGACCTTCTCCCTGAGGAATACAAACAAGATAAGAAAACTAAATTGAAGGTTAGGCTGGTGGAGACGGCGTTTCCATGACTCCCTTGATGGACGCTGCCGTCGATGGCGATCCATCGATCGTCTTTAGAGGTTAGTGGCGGTTAATGCTGCTTAATTGGTACGGATCTATTTATATTGTAGTTCACATTTTTTCCAATCGATAGGTTTCAGTGCATGTCAGCCATTCGTAAAATGAGTCAATGCCTCGACTAGTATCATGACATGCTGTAGGAGAGCATGCAGTGTCTGAAAACACAAGCCAACCCAACATAGTTTACAGACAAATATACTCACATAAGCTCTTTGCTGGCTGGAATTTAATTTTTTTTTTTTCTTTCTTCTTCTTACCTCTGGTGTTTATTGAAATTATGGTGTTAGGCTGTACTTTAACAATCATAATGGGACTAACTAGTAGAGCCAGGCTGATCATAATCTGTCTTCCTGGTGATTCATCGCTATGGTTTCTCACCGTGATGTTTGCATCCGATTCAACAGATAACTTTCTCCCAGCTTTTGAAGAATCTAAACGAATTTGGCGGCTCCAGTTCTGGTGGTACAACCCTTACTGGTTTAGCTTGGCCTGGGTTTGTTTTCCACACCTCCCTGCAACAGCTCTTTACTGCGACTTCAGCAGGAGAGGTGTTATCCCGAGTCAACTTCCCACCGCAGCTGACTTCTTGAAGCAACCCTGCTGTATTACTGCCAACGGGATTCTGTCAGAAATGTTACGATAGCTTCTAAACTGTTGATATATAGCAGAAGTCACCTAAGAGTGATTTCTAATTTAAGAGGTGTGTGTCTTCACCCGTCAGGTGACAGGGGTTCAGTCCCTGGCAGGGCCGCTTGATAAAACATAATAAATATAGAGTGTGTGTTAAATAAGTATAGCGTCAAGAATATTCTCTGCTGAACCTCATACATTTACTCTCTGCCCACTAACTTACACAATTTTGCAGCAGCAACAGCATTGCTAAAAAAAAAATTCTTAAATGTTTTTTATATTCTCTCTACATCGTCAGTAAAACTTCTGATTCTGGTGGTGAGAAATGCAAACTTTCAGGACTGTTTTTCTCTCCCGTTGCCATGGTGAATCGCGTTATTTGCCTCCCATTGATGCGGTCTTTGCCGTTTAGCCGCACTCGCGCTTAACTCAGGGGTAACTTGGCTCAGAATTGAGTTGCCTAGTTGATATCTCCTGCTCTGAAACTGAAAACCCCGAGTATCACCTATCTGGGTAGGTTTGTTCAGAGCACCTGCCTTCTGCTCAGGGCTCGTCCACCCTGCTTCCTGAAACGGGGCCCTCCAGGGTAAATTTGTGTTGTGAAGTCACCAGCAGAGGAAGAATTTTATTATACGTGATCTCCAAAGGATTAGAAAGAACGATGTTATTAGTGGCAAACTATAAAGTTTGTATCTAAGGGGAGTTAAGTGTAGAAGGTAAACAAAGGCCCGGTTAAACCACAAGGCTCAGCGTTTTTTTTTTTTTTGTCGCCGGCTTTATTATTTTCTTTTTTTTGTTCCCTGCTTTTGATCTTTTCTCTCCGTCCATCTCTGCTTCCTAAAAGGACCTTCCCCATCCTTGCTGTAGTGTGTGGAAGTGGCTTCACGCTGGCTGAATGTTTAGTCTTTCAATGATTCTGAAAGTTTCTCACTGGCGTGTCTTTACCTCCGTTATCATGTCTCTTCCACTCGTTATTGATGATCTGACAGGACAGAAGAACAAAATTAATCATGGAAAGACTTTTTGTTCTTTTTCCTGAATGCAAACCTTGTGTCTTGTCTTCTAAAGAGTGACGTGAAAAATGATATATATATAAATATAAATAAGTATACTGTATGTATGAGCCAGTAGGAGCTGTGTGTGTGTGTGTGTGGATGTTTTAATTTGATGGGGCTGCAAAGAGTTTCCTGTTTGTAACAGAAAATGGGGAATGTTCACTGGAAAAAAAAAATTACAATTATTACTCATGTTGCTCTCTGTCCAGATCAAGAATCTGCTCAATCGAATTAAATCTTTGGGCCACTAATAAAGTTATCACTTAATAAAGGATTGTGATGATTAACTTAAGATGTACGGTGATCTATTTAAAAAATAAAAAGCGAAGCTATAAATTAGTTTGATGTCTAGAATCGGTTCTGAAACAGTTTCAATCCACAGCAGGTCCTGCAGACTCAGCTGATGCACTTCTAGGAAATCCAGAGTTAAGAAAATCAGTTTTGTCCACCTTTGCTTTGGTTCTGTTTTTGTGTGTGTGTGTTATCGAAGTTATTTTATGATCTCCAAATATACTGCAGCCTGTATGAAATAGCCTGAATTACGATTGCTGTTTTATAGTTATTTATTAAGTTTGGAAATTCAAGCAAGGCCTGTGTTTTCAAAAGGGACCAGTTTAGTCTTGGGGTTTTATCGGTTGAACTGTTTTGTTTTCTTCATCTCCTTGTTTCTGTTTCCCATCCGGCTCCGGTTGGTGGTAACCGCTGCTTCGTGTCGACCATCATGCACCCACCTTTATAAATCAGTTCTGTTTCAGGAAAAATAAAGAGAAATGTGTCTTTTTTTTTTTTTTTGCCTAAAAGATGGAGGTGCTGCGGTATTTGGGGCGTGGCCGTCTGTGGGGACTGACCTGTTAATACGCACTACATTAAAGGAAATAATAATAAAAAAAAAGGTATTTGCGCTTTAGACCACTCCTGCATTGGTGCAGTCACAGCAGTGTAATCTCACAGTCATCGGATACTCTTTTGTATGTACATATAAATACTCAAAACATGTAGTAAAGCAAGAAAAGAACTGAAGAGCCACCATGGATCATGTAGCATCATAATAAATTACAGTAATAAACTCCCCTCATCTCCAGCTGGTTCTTATTTGTGAGTGTGTTTACCCTAATGGACTGTGGATCCCAGTCTGTGTGTGTGAAGTCATAAATTTAAATTTGGTCATAAATGGGCTGTAAACATTTAGCGCTTTAAAATGATTTGCCCACTTACAGAAACTGGATTGTTTTCTCTCATACAGATGTTTCAGATCAACTGATAATCTGAGTAAATACAGATATTCAGTCATTAAGTTTTTAATTAAGGGGAAAGAAGCTACGCATACCAACCCGGCTCTGTGTGTGACAGAAGTAATTACCTGAGGAAAGAAATTAAGAACTGGTTTTTCCACCCTTTGTGGCAACAGCTGCCATCAAGTGTTTTTTGGCAGCACTGTGGAAGAACTCCTAAGTCCTTCAGTTTGTTTTTTAGTTCAGCCAATCAGACTTGCATGTGTTTTTGGATCACTGTCCTGTTGCATAACTCAGGTTTGCTTGAACTGAAGCGATAATGTTCTCATTAAGGATTTTCTGCATTCTGCTAGAGCAGAATTCGTGGTTCCATCCGACACAAGTCATCCAGCCTCTGAAGCAGAAAGACGGCCCCAGATTGTCACTCTGCTGTGCTGTGCTTGGCAGTTTAATGTTCTTTTTTTATGAGATGCTATGTTAATTTTGTGTAACTGAATGCACACCATTCAAAATGTTCCCCTTTTTGCTTTTCTAAGGTCTTAAAAGATTTTTTTAAATATACTTTTTGTTCTATGGTCAGCAGTTGTTTGGGTTTGGGAAATCGCCCATGGAGGCCATTTTTCTGTCTGGTGAATCAGAAACACTGACCTTAATGAAGAAAAGTGAAGTTCTTCACATGCTTCGGTCATTGATGCGATCTTGGTTTGATTTTGGTTGACCAGTAACTTCCTGAGAAAGTTTGCTGTTTGCTTCTGACATGCTAACGATGTCACAAGCTTAAAACATCCTACCATCGCTTCCAGAAGTTTCTATATTTCTTGAACTGTTCCACAGTTTGCAATAACAGAGATCCACAGCTCAGGTGGGTCAACAAATCAACTAATAATGTGCATGCCATACTTTTGTCATTTTTTTTCTAAAAGAAAAATACTGTTAAAAGCACGTAAATGTTTATAGTTTATAGTCTGTCACAAGTCAACTCAAAAGACTTTCCAGGGATATGAAACTGAAATTAATGCTGTTGGTCTTCATAAATCCTGAACATACCAAGGACGGGGAAAGTTGATCAATGTTGACAGACTGATGGATAGAGTTAAATATGACCAAAGAAAAGCTTAGAAGCTGAAATAAACCAACAATGGAACAATTACCTTTGGCAATGACAGAAATCCTAAACAAACAACCACAGTTATAATGACACAGTTTAGATAAAACCTGATTCATGTGTTCGAATGGTCCAGTCAAAGTCTGGATATGGATTCATGTAGGAATAGGAATAGATGTTAACACATGCTATCAAACCAATATAGATGTACAAAGCTGTTTAACATGCATCTTTCCCTTAACAGTTATGCTGTACTTTGCTTAAATCTGTCATACATTATCCAAATTAAGCTTATATTTCTTTGTGTTGTCTTGTAGACGTATGTATTAAAATGCTAATTTACATAAAGATATTTTTTTTCCTTTTCATTTTAACTTTTTAGGTTTTATTTATTTATTTTCATGGAAGCGTCATTGTGTCTTTTCCGCATGAAATGTTTAATGTGAATAAACGTTTAAGTTCACTTTACTACGGTGAATGCGTTTTCAAGGAACGCCGTGTCTACCTTTTTGTCTGTTTAGCAGTTGCGATAATTATCCAGCAGAGGGAGAAAGAGAGCCCAGAGGCGACGCCCACTACTGTTGTCTAGCAACAGACGTCATCGGGCCTAATCCAGGAAGTAGAAAAACATCAACAATCCTTCCAGGTTGGGCGAAGCGTTGGGGTAGGTTTTAGCGAGGTGGCCTTTCCAGAGCCTTTGTTTCTCCTACGCTCTGCTTTATTTAGCCATTTTTACAGCGAGGGTCCTGTAGCAGCTTAGACATGTCGTTGTTCGGCAAGATATTTGGAGGAGGTGGAAAAGGGGGAAAGGGACCGAGCGCACAGGAGGCGATCCAGAAACTCCGTGAGACGGAGGAGATGCTAACGAAGAAACAGGAATTTTTGGAGAAAAAGATCGAGCAGGAGCTGCAGATCGCCAAGAAAAACGGCACGAAAAACAAGAGAGGTGAGACAACGGTGTTATTTCCATCTACTATCTGACTTCTCGTGGTGAAATATCAGGTTAACCAGCACAAGTCAAACGTTAGCCAGCACCTTAGCATTTTTGGCTAACTTTACGTCGCCATCGTAAATGTTGGCTGGCTTTATTTTCTTAGGTCGACACCCAGGACAGCTGGTTAAATGACAGGCTGGCATTTTTTTTAAAATTCATGTTGAGTTCATAAATTTTTCCACTTAACATCCATGTAGACACCTCTCTCAACATATCCCTGTGATGATATTTGCGGTGAATTAGTGAGTGGCTATTTAAAAGCCGGAAAAAATGGTCAAAGGTGTTCTTTACAGATTCCCCATGAGGACACAAAGTCTGAGGGCAAAGGTTGACGGATGTCAGGGAGGTGGGCGTGTTTCCACCCGGATCAACACCTCTACCTGCTATGTACACTGTTATAAAGGCCCTCTAATTTTATTTTGACATAGGTAACCTTGAAAGTATCTGACAATTGAAGATAATAATCATGACTTAATGTTACAATTGTGTAACATTAAGTCACACTTGTGTCAAAGATTTTTAGCAACAGATACGCATACTTTCATGTTAGCCTTATGCATTTTAGTATTAGTACTATTATTATTGGTTTGTTTATAGATTTGTTTTATCTTAAGAACTTTTGCGTGAACCAAGAATTTACAAAGTCTGAAATGCATGTATCTTTAATTAAGGCATGAATGTGGAGAAAATGTGAGCTGGCCTTAACATTAATTCCAAGTCTTACATTTTGACTATTTAATTTCATATATGTCTTTTTTTTTTTCTTTTCTTTTCTTTTTTCTCGTGGGACATTGAGTTTGAGTCGCGCGCGCACATCTGCATTGCTTGTGAGTTCTCGAGGTGGAAGAAGCTTCCGCTAACTTATGGTTTCCATCTTAGCTAACTGCTAATATATCTTTGTTAGCTAGCTATTTTTTTTCCCTATCATGGGTAAGTACAAATTTATCGCCAGTTGACTGGACGACCTTCGTCTTCACCACTGGCTCACTTCTGTTGCTAACCCATAGGAGGCCTGGCGCAATCTCTGAAAAAACCGTCGTTTTCAAGAATTACATTTGAACATGATCATGCTGTTAGACCTCAATTTTCCCTTTGCAGGACAATAAATGCTGTTTCTACTCTATTCTAAAATGTATTCAGGTATATGTTGGAGATGGTCAGATGCATGTATCTAATCTGAATCAAAGTTTTATTTAACAAACTAGTGCATTAAATAACATCCTGTTGGTTAGTGCAACCAAGAAAAGAGTTTAGTTTTAGTGCATTAATGAAACTGGGATAAAATAAACTTTTTCAGCTTTCTATTTGCACATCACTGATCAAGGTTTATCCAGTTAAAACTGGCTGATCCTAATATCTGGCTGACAGACTGATTCGTCTCTCATCAAGCTGAATTCCACTGGCTCATTAATTAACATTATTGTCAAGATGATTGTTAAATGAAAGCTCACATTTGGGAGAAATGTACAAAGAACAGCACAGTTGTTTGTCCTGATGTTTCTACCTGACAGTAGGAGGAGTTGTAGCTGGTTAACATTTGTTCTGAGTGAAATGAAAAGGCTCCTGTGCCGTCCGGCCGGCCGGCCTGAATACTTTCAGTGCTTGGCCTCCATTGTAATTATTTCCTGCTCTGACGCAACAAAGGTTGGCACAATGACTCAGCCTAGGATGACGTACAGGTGTTGTAATACAGTGGGTGAGAACTTCATTTTTTCCAGTTTGTCATTTTTACGACTCCAGGCTAAACATAGGAACACCCTATATTTTTAGATTCTGACTCATTTAGGTTCTAGTACTGCTAAAAGTTTGGATCAGACAACATGCTATAGAGCATCACCTCTAGGAACTGACTAGTATCACTATCTTGAATGAAAACACCACAGCTTCTTTGTATTCAAAACAAAGACGTGTAACATGATGATTTAACATTTATTATCTAGATTTTAAAACCTACACTGGAACTGAACTCTTCAATAAAAAAAAATACCTGTTCATAGTGGTGAACAAAGAATATCTAATGTATAAAGTGTCAGGTGAGGTCATCATCACAATGAGAATTACTGAGGTCTCATGTGTTGTTGACTCACCTTATCATCTAAAAAATGACTCAGCATGATGTTAAACACCGACAAAAACAGAATACAAGTTAACACCAAAACTGACCTCAGTCTGCATACTAAGGTAAAATCCACCCATCGTGGGTAAGTACAAGATGTACTTTGAGGGAAATCCACAAAAGAAGATAACTAATCTGTAACCAGATGAGGGAAAATCTTTCATTAAGTACACGTGTCTGCTGGCAGGAGGAGATTAAGCTGTGCTTTTTTTTTATTGTACTTTTCCATGAAGTCTAAAGTAGAAGCTGACTTTAATTTCACTACGCAAATATCTGTCTTGATTTCTTCAAGACGTCCTTTCTGTCCTAATTGGGTACATTTGGCTTCCGGTAAAGCTTCGGTAGTGGTGTTGTTTCTTTTTATTGATAGACCATATGCAGGGTACACTGACTAAAAGCCAACAATCAGAAAATAATAGTACCAGCATGGCATGTTGAGGTACTGCGCCCAGTTCATAGGTAGTGACCATTTTTTGTTTGAATACTGCAAATAAAGTCCGGAAGTGCCACCCAAACCTTCTAAAACCACTTTTTTTAAAAAGTATATTTCACACTGGAAATATTGAAAATAGATTTACTACATGTGGGATTTTTTTTTTCTAAACTCCCACATTTAGAAAAAAAAAATCTTCTAAAAGAAATGTATACTTTGCACAAAATTAAATGACAGCATCTGGAAACATTTAATTAGTAATCTCGACGTAGGTTTAATGTGACGAAATAAAGACCTATTTCTCTTTAGCTCTCGTCAAAATCGGAAGACAAGAGAACATCCCGGTCAAGGAAGGTAGATCATGAGTCGCTCTTAATAAATCAGAAGTTGCTTCTATTTTCAGTCGGAACATGCATCAAAAAGTTCATAAGTGGAGGTGTGATAAGAAATGATGGGAATAAAATAAACTCACTTTTGAACAGACCCTTAGCACAGATAGCAATAATTAGTCACAAAATTGCCAGAATTGCAAAGAATTCTATCTACTGATATAAAAAAACAACCAGATGCTTCATAAAATAGTTTTTTTTTAAAAAATACCTTTTAGGTTGTCTGAATAAAACTCCTCTGGGAATAAATGATTCCTGATTCTACCACCTGAGAACTGGTTGTGTATCCATGTGTGTGCCTCTGCCGATCCTGACGCCAATCTCCCTGCGCTCTGTTTTTCCCCTCAGCGGCGCTGCAGGCTTTGAAAAGAAAGAAGCGGTACGAGAAGCAGCTGGCCCAGATCGACGGCACGCTGTCAACCATCGAGTTCCAGAGGGAGGCGCTGGAAAACGCCAACACCAACACGGAAGTGCTCAAAAACATGGGCTTCGCCGCCAAGGCCATGAAGTCCGCCCATGAAAACATGTAAGAGCAAACGTAGCGATTCGTGGCCTAATTAATGAATTACGTCTGAGGTGAAATGAGATGAGGCGTTGTTATTGTTCCCGCCACATCAACGTTTTATTTTGTGGTTTTTCCCTTTTTTTTTTTTTTTTTTTTTACCTTTTTGTGAACGGACCTTCTTTTCTTGTCGTCGCATCAGGGACATCGACAAGGTGGACGACCTGATGCAGGACATTACCGAGCAGCAGGAGCTGGCTCAGGAAATCTCCGACGCCATTTCTAAACCCGTTGGGTTCGGAGAGGAGTTTGACGAGGTGAGTCGGTTCATCCGGTGAAGCAGAACTCAGAGGGAGCCGTTTCACCGGCCAACATGGCGCCGAACGGAGTTGAACCCTGTTTCTTGTTGCTCTGTCTCGGATTGGCCTTGAATCTAAATGCGCTTATTCATAGAGTAATTCAACACAGCCGAAGGTATTCAGTCACCAGGATGCTCTGAATGAGTTCTTTCTTAAAGTCTCAGTCTGCTGACCTGAAGTATCCCGATTCAGGATTTTCATTCAAGGTTTCCCTCTTTTAGGACCTTGTTAAGCTCAGTTTGATGCTCTGTCTTTTGCGCTCACTTTCACCCTTTTTCCGTGTTTGATTTAACTTTTGGATTAAATCTCATTCTTCTTGGCGGGAGGCAGCGTTGGTTTTAATCTTAGCTGTTGATCCCGTTTGTAAGGATGAGCTGCTGGCGGAGCTGGACGAGTTGGAACAGGAGGAGCTGGACAAAAACCTGCTGGAGATTGGTGGACCGGAGAACGCGCCCCTCCCCAACGTGCCTTCTACTTCATTACCCTCTAAACCTGGTGAGGCTTCTTTTATTTAATCTTTAGTTAAATAGGGTTATGATTCGGGCTTGTTTGTCCGTCTTCAATCTAGAAAGGAAACTGTTTCTGTTCGTCTGATGTCTCCCGTCGTTTATCATTGCACTGGATTTTAAATATTCTCAAATATTCAAAAATCATCGCACGACTCTTTGTTGTTCTTTCAAATTACAATCCCAATGAAGGGATAAAATGCTGATTCCAATGGAAGAAAATCTGGAAAGAATTAAAAACTTCTACCAGAAACCGTACAGACTCGTTACAGTCGCGACTTTGAACAATAGAGCTGGTTTTCATATGCCTAATTAAAAAAAATAAATTATTTTTCCTCGTAGCTAAGAAAGAAGAAGACGAGGACGACATGGAGGACCTGCAGCGCTGGGCGGAAGCGATGTAAACGCAGCATCCCGTCACATCGAACCTGCGTCTGATTGAGGGGGAAGAGGAAGGAACGACGAGGAATTGGATAGAATGAACTGATCGGATGTTGAGTGTTTTCTGTGTGTCTGAGGAGAGTTGACGTTGTGTAACACTACAATTAAGCAACAATGCTGTACTTTTTTTTCCCCCTCTCTTTTTTTTATTATTATTATTGTTTTTGCCCCCTAAAGAAATGTGAAAACCTGAGCCGCTCGGTTCCTAATGAGCCGGTCGGGTCTCAGTGTCACCTAGTTGATTTTACCCCTGATTTAAAAAAAAAAACAACAACAACAACAAAAACACCTTAACTCTCCCGTATCCAGGTGGGGCCATTTCATTGGAAGCAGCATTTGATTGGTGCGCCAAGATGTTCAGAACATCTCAGGCTGATGGGAGAATTTTCACAGAGGCTAAATCCACAGAGATCTTGTTCCAATGTTTGTCTTTGTGTTGCTCACTCCCTGATTATAATTTTTTTCCTTAACTCCCTTTGCTTTGGTTTGGTTTTTCATTATTATCATTATTATTATTACTTCTCAACTAGAAGCATGCAGTGGGCGAGGATTCTCCAGAATCTGTGTGTGCGTTTGCAAGAACCGTAACCTCTTTATTTTGTCTGAAGCTGCGGGGGCTCTGACCCTTCTCTTTACCTCCTGTCATCGTTTTTAGCCCCAGAAGGCGTCCTCGCCAGTGGTTCTCGTTATTTGGTGTAAATATCTCAAATGTATCTCTTTTTCATATACTGTGTCGAGAGGTTTCGGCTGAGGTCGCGTGAAGCATGCAGAGAGAAGGGAAGTCACGATACAGATCCCACCGCACGGCTTGAGACCAGAGATGTTTAACCTAACACTTTTCATCCTGCTCTGTCTGTCTTTGTCCTTCTCATAAGGGTTTTGTTTCAAATTGTATATTGTTAAAAAAAAATAATAATAATAATAATAGTTATAATAAACTATTGTCACACATTATTGGTTGCGTTGAGGTGGAAAGTTCTGCTTAGTCGATCCACTACATCTGCATTTTGGAGTTTAAAAGGAACCTTTTTTTTTTTTTTAAAGTCACAACTTACTTTTTTTCTTTCTTTTTTTGTTACGTACAAAAGAAAACAAAAACACACAAGGACAGATGGGAGAGCATGTTTGCATTTCTATGTTTTATTTATCCAGATGAGAATATTATTTGCAGAATCATTAAAAGTTTACAATTCCTTTACTGTTGTGGAAGATGAATCTCTATCAAAGGTTCAGAGTCACTCTAATACCTAAAGTAGAGAAGAAATAAATCTCTCCGGTTGTAGATTATGGCTAAATCAGCACCGCTGAATGGTTAATGGACCGAATTTACTCACACACACATTTATATAAATCAGTAGTAAGCTTGGGATTAAGTGCCTTGACCAGTGGCACGTCGACATGTAGTGGGAGGAAGCTGGATTCAAACCCGAAACTTTCCAAGTGTGAGGCTGCTTCTCTTCCCACTGTCGTCCTTTTTTTGCCTGTCATTTTTACAGCCTGAGTAAAGGAATGTTTCCGCCCACTTGAGGCAACCAGAGGTCAACTCTGTGCGAACCTGAAAGGACCTAAAGATTGTCAGAGTGCAAGAAAAGTCTAAAATCATCCTCTTGTACAAGTAGTGATAATATTTTCGGGTTTACCTGAACTCAAGTCGTTTTGCTTTTGGTGTTTGCACATAGTTTGTTCTTGGGTCACTGAATGAATGCCTCTTTAATGGAACACCACTTATACAATTACTTTAAAGCATCTCATGATTCATGGTTCCAAATAGAAATCATCAGTTTATTGGCTTCTCTGGAAATTTTTGACACCAAAATCTTAATGAGTGATAAATTTATGCCATAACTTTTAATAAGTGCTGTATGTTCCCCATGCCTCTGCTGGCACTCCGTTAATAAATTGGTACTATTGGATCCTGTTTGGGAAATTAGAGGGAAGAAGTATTTGTACACAGAAACAGAAATTAACTTAATTTTAGTTTTTACTTTTAACCAGATCACCGCCGCAGTTTTCATGTCAAACTCGCGGCTGGATTTACAAGGATGTGGGTCCTTTTGGTGCCCGATCACTAGGAAGAAATTATTTTACTAATGTGAATTATAGTACATTATATGTCAGCGGGTAAGGACTGATGCAATGTGGGTTTAATATGTCCTCTGGCCAATGACTCTATGTTAAGGCCAAGGAAGTCGACTGTAACGTCATGATTTTCAAATACTTGAATATTGCTTATATTCATAGAAATACTAATATAATACAACTCACATGATTTGGGCCTATGAGTTTTATATAAAGTACGATGTTTACAATACAAACATTTATTTAAAAAAATGAAAAATATATATTTTTTTGTCTTCTGTCCGTCAATCTCCTGCTACACAGGCGGATTGGCGCAGCGTTTGCAGTGAAGCGGCGCTGAACCTGCCTGTCGTGGTGAAGAGAGACCTGAGTCAAAAAGCAAAGCTATCGATTTACTAGTCGGTCTATGTTTCTACCCTCATCTATGGTCATGAGCTTTGGGTCATGACCAAAAGAACGAGGTCAAGGCTACAATCAGTCGAAATGAGTTTTCTCCGTAGGGTGTCTGGGCTCTCCCTTAGAGAGAGAAGCTAAGTCCTCCAGGAGGGACTCAGAGTAGAGCCGCTGCTCCTTCATGTCGAGAGGAGCCAATTAAGGCTGGTTAGGATGCCTCCTGGACGCCTCCCTAGTGAGGTGTTCTGGGCATGTCCCATCAAGAGGAGGCCCCAGGAAGACCCAGGACACGCAGAAGGGACTGTGTTTCTCAGCTGGCCTTGGAATTCCCCTGGAGGAGCTGGAACAAGTGACTGAGAGAGGGAAGTCTTGGCCTCCCTACTTAGACTGCTGACCCCACGACCCACCCCGGACAAGCAAAAGAAGATGGATGGATGGATGGATGGATAGGCCTATTTTTTTGTATGAACTGATGGACAGATACATAGTAATTGTCTGGAAATGCCAATATTCACCACAGGGGTTTCCCCGTGGTGAATGGAAGATATATCCATGATGGGATGGAATATATCCATCCCATCCGTCCATAAATCTATTTATCCATTTATCTATTTTACACATAGCTGTGCTGACCTGAAGAAAATCAAATCCTAAGCACACACAGGAATCCCGTGTAACTTTTTGATCTTTTTTTCTTTTGTAACGTTTTGATCTTGAACGCTCCTCTCTCTCTCTCTTTCTCTCTTGCCGTGACGTCAGGGTTTGGCGACTTTGCACATGCGCACCGGTGCCCAGCGCTGATGCAAGAAATATCCCTGAGCAGACGTGTGGAAGTGATCGTGGGATAAGAAAAGTTGACTAAATTCTCTGTCGTCCAATCTGCAAACATGTCGGGAGACGAGGTAAGAGAGCCCCGACCACTCGGTCTTCAGTCAGTGTCGGTGCGGGACCTTTGTAGGAATCAGATGGTTGATTTCTCGGTCCTTATCTATGACTTTGGGCCTCGGCAGTGTTGCTCCCCTCCCTGTCCACGGCAGCTCACACATGGCTGGTGCAAACTGGGCTAGCAGAAGGCCGACTAGTCAAACTCATGTTCGCCTTAAAAAAAAAAAAAAAAAAAAGAAAAAGCAGCGAAATACGCTGTTGCGCTGGGGTTTATCGCACCGAGTGGGTGACAGGAATTAATTTTAGCTAATAAATCCGCCGTGTCGTTGCCATTGTATCGCTCAAACTGAGCGGGTAAAGAGGCTAGCTAAGCAGAAGCGGTGCTGCTAGCCGTTCATTTCTAACAGCTACACAGATTTAGCTCATTTTGACTCGACTAAAACAGACAAAATCAATGTAGCGGCTGTTAATCCACGGGGTCTAAACTGAGTCAATAACATGTTACTTTACATTCTTGCCGCTTAACGCTTTCTTGTTGCCTTTAACTCTAGATTGTGACACAATCTTAAAACTTTTACGGATTCGTTTGTCATCCATCCCTCTGGCGACTCATCCACTTGTTTATTCAGTTCTCCATCCACCCATCTGTTCATCATGTGTTTTTCTATTCATACGTCCCTCCATCCAGCAGCTAACTGCCTGTCCATCTTTCAATTCATCCATTCAAACGTCTGTCCGTCTCTTTGTTTTTGCAGAGTCTGTACTTTAAGACTGATTAGAAATATCTGCCGGTTAGAAATACTCAACTTCATTATTATGCTATAAAAATGTTCTTTAAAACAACGACCTCTGGAAATTTAAGTCTGAAATCCTAAGGTTATTTGAAATAAAGTGACATTTAACCAGGTAATGATGCGCTCACTTTTATATTGATAGTCAAAGGCATGAAAACTCGAAATCTCAAGATTTCTTTTGGATTCTTTTGTGCCTAATTTGGGTCCGCTCCACTTTTCAGATGATTTTCGACCCCAACATGACCAAGAAGAAGAAAAAGAAGAAGAAGCCCTTCATGCTGGACGAGGAAGGAGGAGAGGGCGTGGGAGGAGAAGAGGCGAAAGAGGTGGAAGTCAAGGAGGCCGAGCCAGAGGTCGGGGAGGACAAGGAGGTGGATGTAGATGAAGATGAAGGCAGGAAAAAAGGTTTGAAAGAAGGTTGCTTTACGTTTCACAGCTGTATGTAACAGTTCTCTTCATGAAACATAGATTTGGCTGTTTTTCTTTTGTTTTTGTTTTTTAGCTGGGTTTGTTTATCGTTCTAGAACTATCCGATGACTTGAACGACCTGAATTTCTTCAACCAGAAGAAAAAGAAGAAGAAACCAAAGAAGAATTTTGGGCTTGAGAACGATGTAGAAGAAGGATTAAAGGTCAGTCGCTAATAAACTGCTTTTTTACCTCCTTCTTTGTCTTTCCTTCATTTTTATTATTAATTGTACTTATTCTCACTCTGCATTTAAAACTAAGTTTTACTTCTGACTGATTTTAAAAAACCAGGAGCTGAAAATCGAAGGGGAGCAAACCGAGGCGCCAGAGGAGGACAACCTAGATTTGATGCTTCCCAGCAAAAAAAAGAAGCCGAAGAAAGTCGACTTCGACGAGGGAGAGGCTTTGGAAAAAGACGACGGTACAGACCACGGCAGCTTTCCTTCAATTCTGAAGACTTAAAGCGAGCTGCTCGGTCTTACAAGGTTTGCACGTTGTGTCTGCAGCTCTGGAAGACGACGACAGCAAGAACAACGACGGAATTTCGTTCATTTCCTCCACGGGTCCAGCGTGGGCCGGCACGGAAAGAGACTACACGTACGACGAGGTAAGACGGCACAGGAACTAAACGACACACGGGCGATTGCTTCAGTGGGCTTAGCATCAATCCCTTCCTTCAAAGCAAACATGTTGCAGCAACGACGGGGAGGAGCGCCTCCTAAATTAGGCTCCGCGGGAACGCTACAGCCAACTGAGCACCGAGATGAAATGCAGAGGAACGTGGAAGGACAATCAAATAGTGTGGCTAGGTGATGGCAGCATCAGCTCACGGCTAAAAGCAGAAGCACTGAGCGTGCCGTACTTTCTGAGAGATGCAAAAAGAAGTTGAGTACACGCAGCACCGCCTAGAAAAGAAAAACGCAGCCGAAAGTAAAAGTGCTGAGCGAGGAGGCCTTCCTTCAGAAAAGAAGAATAACCTGGATACACATAATCATTCCATGAAAGACGTGCAGAAATAGGCATGTCACAATAAGGAATAAATTAATTATCCACATAATAAATTAAAACTTTTTTTTTTCGTCTTTTTTCGTCTTTCTACCAAAAATGTGATGACAAAAGTCTTCCGTGTTTTGCTTTGGTCTCTTCTAACCCTTTTTTTTTTTTTGACGGACAATTTTATCTACAGAGACTTTATAATTAATTGTCTTTGCTTATTTCGACTATTTAAAATGTCTTCCAGTTCCAGTGTTAAATGTTAATTAGAATTTAAAGCTTATTAATCTTTGTGATCCTGCATTACTGTTCCATTGCAATGGTCTCGAAACAACAATATTATCGTTTATCGCGATAACGTTTGGGATAATTTATCATCTGACAAAATTTGTTACAGTGACAGGCCTGTGCAGGAACACTTTCTATCGAATACCTTTTGCTGGAAAGATGAGCATGAAGGGTTCGCACAGTCGGTAGCAACATTATTTCCATCAGCTTCTTTCTGAATAGCGTCTAAGAAAGAGACACTAATAAAAACAGAAGGATTCAGCCAGAAATGCTTTGCACGTGAGAAAAACACGATCAAATTACACAGTCTTAATGAATGCAACATCTCGGTCAGTGGCTTTTTTTCTAAGAAAAGGACAGAACTAAACCCAGAATCAACGTTTAAAACCAGCTGTTATGATGCTTATGAACAAATCTTTGAGGTGTTTTTTTATATATCCCAGCTCCTAAACAGAGTTTTCAACATCATGAGGGAGAAAAATCCTGACATGGTGGCCGGGGAGAAGAGGAAGTTTGTGATGAAGCCCCCTCAGGTGGTTCGAGTGGGAACCAAGAAAACGTCCTTTGTCAACTTCACAGATATCTGTAAACTGTGAGTCACAACAACCGTCCTCGTTGTTTGCACCTCACTGACCCAGGCTGGTGAAAATCCCGTCAGACGGCCTCATGCTTCTTCCTTCTCCCTCCCAGGTTGCATCGTCAGCCTAAACATCTTCTCGCTTTTCTGCTGGCTGAGCTGGGAACAAGGTACGTGGTGGTTATCTATTTATTTAAAAATTACATGTTAAAAATTCTTAACGGACACTGGTGTGTTTGTGTGGACTTAACATTTGTATCTTTTTGTCTGTTAACAGCGGCTCTATAGATGGAAATAACCAACTTGTGATCAAAGGCAGATTTCAACAGAAACAGATAGAAAATGTGTTGAGAAGATATATCAGTAAGTCGGAAGCGCCTCTATTTGCTACTGAACTAACTTGAATCGTATTTCATTTGCAAACGTAAGCAACTGTGAAGCTACAGTGGCATTTGGATTATGGGTAATGTAGTCTCAAGGTTGTCTGGTTTTGGCTCTAGTGGCCTTTACTTGAAAGTGCTAAGACAGTAAAGTAGGTAAAGAGAGAGAGAGAAGGAAGCCATGCAGCAAAGGTCACCAGGCCGGGAATCGAACCTGGGACGGCCGCATCGAGAACTTCTGCGCCATCACAGCACCCCTTAGTATTTAGTCAGTTTCTCATCTTGTTCAATGAAGCTCTATGTGACCTGAAGTCCTAAATGTGTGTGTGTGTGTGTGTGTTTTTTTTTTTTAATTAATGTTTTCTTTCCTGCAGAGGAATACGTGACATGTCACACCTGCCGCTCTCCAGAGACCATCCTGCAGAAGGACACTCGTCTTTACTTTCTGCAGTGCGAGACGTGCCACTCCCGCTGCTCCGTCGCTAGCATCAAGACTGGCTTCCAGGCTGTGACGGGCAAGAGGGCGCAGCTCCGCGCCAAAGCCAACTGAAAGGCCAAGAAACCTGGGCCCACTCCCACCCTCCCTTCTTCTAACGACCTCTTTTTTTCCCTGAAGCTGGGGTCGAGACGCCCTCATTGATTTTGCTTAAAGAACTCTCTGAATCGAACTGCGGGAGTTTGGCCGCTGTTTAGTTGTCATTTGCCTGTACAGGCCCTTGGGGGAGTGAGAGATGCATCTAAAAGCAACAGAAAAAGGTTCAGGTGCTGTAAAACAGGTGATGTTCACCAGGAAACATCATTGGAGTGAATGAATATGTTTTGTTGTTTAGCCCATGAATCCTCTGGCTCTTAGAACTTTTTTTTCTTCCCATTTGCTGTGATTTTTTTTTTTTTTTTTTTTTTTTTTTTGGTTCAAGAAAAAGCCTGATTGACCACAACTTGAATTCTTTCTTTTCTCTCCCACTTCACACATACCAGAGAGGAAGACAAAAGGTTACATTTACACCACAGCGAGTCGCATTGTGTTAAAACTACACTGATCCACATAAGAGTTTTGACGTCTTTCTATATATTCTTTGGCTCATCGCTAGACTGAAAGCCATTGCACTTTGTATTTTGGCCCAAGTCACAAAATCGTTTAGGTTTCTGTGCAGCTTCCCAATTTAACAAATGACCTAAGCGACAGGACTGTAATTCATTTATAGTTTACGCCAAACTTGTGAGAAATTGTCTTAATCTGGCTTCCTAATGGCTTTACTGTCAAAAGTAAAAAACTTAAAACATTTTGGACTCAAAAAAAACTGATGAACATGACTGTTTTGAAGCTGTAACAAAGAAACTAAAGCGGAGAACTTTTGTTGCATTGAGGATTTCTAAAGATTAGAGCTATGTTTTTATCAACCTGATTTGAGCAATTTGAAATTAAAATTTTGAGGAAAAAAAAGCTTGTTTACTTGGGTTTGTAGCAAAATAAGAAAAATGTCAAGGTTTCTTCTTGCTGCTTGATATTTTAAGAATTGGTTCAGAGTTTTACTCCATAATTTAGCCAGAATATAAAGTCAGTTTGTGTACTGCAGACCACACGATGTTGGTTCTGCTTTTCTATAAGCCTAATGTGGATTAGGTCTGACTAGTCAATTTAAAGCTGGGTTTTTACAGAAATAAAATGTTCTCTCTCTCCTCGTCATTACTTTTTTTTTTATTGCATTTAAAAGGGCTGCAAATCAAAAGACAGCAACTTACTTCTTTGGGGTAACATTTAACATATTGGCATTGGGGTGTGAATGACACCAATATAAAGACCAGAAATCAATTCAGAAACTAGCCATTGCTTCAGTGTTCATAACACCTATTGTTAGAATTTTCTGTTATAAATCAACACTGTGTAACTGGGAGCAGGGAGAAATTTATTAATGTTAAGTCCAAAATGTGATCTGCCATGTGATTCACCATTTTGTTAGTACTTACATTTTGCTGTAATTACAAGTGCAAGATTTTTTGGGATTTAAATCTACTAACTTTGCACATAAAAGGAATAACATTTCTATCTGTTCTAGTAGTTTTGTCAGAACAAAGTCTGAACAATTGTTGCGACAGAATGTCAATTGAATTTAGGTCTTAACATTGACTGGCCTGTTTTCAAACATCTCTAAAGTTTGAATATTCACTGCAAGGAACACTTTTTATAAACATTTAACGGTTTCAATTAGAGAATCGCATAAAGTTCTACCCAATACATCGGGGGGAAAAAATCTGGTTATATATCTTGAAAATTCCGTACAGGAAGTACGAGTCTTTAGCTTCACTCTAATTGGCTGGCTTTGGCCTCGAGCGAAACCGTCGTAACGGAGGTTGTGACTGACGCAACTGAATCAACGCTTGGAGTTGTTCGGAGGAACAGTCTAGAACAGCGTTGTCTGAAATAGCAAATAAACATGCCTCGAGTCTACATCGGACGTCTAAGTTATCACGTCCGCGAAAAGGACATTCAGCGATTTTTCAGCGGATATGGAAAACTAATGGAAATCGACTTGAAAAATGGGTGAGTTTTGGTTAAATATGTGAACGTTGCTCGTAGCTTTGGAACCTCTGATGTTGAACGACGTAAATGTAAGAAATGTTAATGCTGTAACGCGAAATTTCTTTGTTTCAGTTGGTAAATTTAGCTTCATAAAAGGTTATGTGCTGATTTTGACCGAAAAATGCATTGTTAAACTTAAGTTTATTGACTGATTTTCGACTCCGTGTAGCAAATGTCGCATGGCCAACATGGCGGCTTTGTATTTTTTACATTGGAGAGCTAGCGTGGGCCTAGCTAGCCGAGCTAGCCGCATGGCTAACCGAACGGTCGACCAATTGAATGAATTGCTTTTATTTGATGGAATGTTCTCTAGCCTAACATTGAACCCTATTCTTTCCTGCAGCTATGGATTCGTGGAGTTTGAAGACAACCGGGATGCCGACGATGCCGTGTATGAGCTGAACGGAAAGGATTTGTGCGGAGAGCGAGTGATCGTTGAGCATGCCCGTGGCCCACGGCGAGACCGAGATAGCTACGGAGGGGGTTACTGGGGCGGAGGGCGCAGTAAGTGCCATCTATTAGATCATATTCTCTTTCCCCCTTCCCTTCAGGGTGAGGTTGCAGTGTAGAGTACGAAGAGAACCGTTTTTAGCTATAAATCAATTAAATTTGTTGAACATTTGTTGTCTGGTTGACTCGTATTTGTTAATTTTATGTTTTCTCCCAGGTAAATAATCTTGATTAAGAGCCCTCGGATACACACATTTTGTGCATGCTTTTCTTAAAAAAAATATCTAAAGCTATTTGTAGTTTTTAAATGTAGTTTCTTCACATTTGTAAGCAGTAGTTTGACGAAATACTTTGTTTTCCCCAAACTCATCTGTCGTCATATTACAGTTTTCTTTGGCTCTTTCTTTTTTATTTAGGTCAAATCCCACCCCACTCTGAAGTTGTTTTCAGTTTCATTAATAGTCGCTGACCTGTGAGTTTTTGCTCCCCCTGATCATGGGCCGCCCTGCATTAAACAGTGGTTCCTTGATGGGAACGAGCAAATAACTGCAGGTCAGGGTGTATGGTGATCCATAGTGCTCTTCATAGTGTAAACAGAATCCATTTTGTAAGTTAAAATTCTTTCTAATATTTCTTTGACTCATTTACTTCATATTTACATTATTTAAACCAATATAGCAAGTGTACATTGTGCTTGGAGGTTAGGACTTAACTAACACTTTTTCGTTAATTTGTGTATTTGCTAACTTTGGCATTTCTCTATATTTTTCTATATATTAAACATTAACAAAAGTCCTTGATGTTTCAATTTGAAAGAGTCCAGCTGCGGGCTGAGGCTGAGAGTCCATTGAGGCTAAAGATGACTGGCTAAGATGACTGCCTGTCCCGTTTGGCCTTGGCTTTCACCTTACAATGTGTGTGTGACCTTTGCCCCCTTGATCCTTGGCTGACCTAACCGGAAGCCATGATGACAGCAGCCTTTTGCCAATAGACCAGGGGTGATGGTGAGGATTGCCATTGGTTTCTATGTTGACCTCAAACATGACTGGATCGGCTGTAGTTGAACAACTTACAATCTAAAGAAAATATGTAAGTGCAAAACTGGGAAGAAGGGTGCACCAGACTAGCATCTGGCAAGGTACCAGTTTGAAATGCTTAGAAAAGTCATTGTATCATTTAGACTCAATTGAATTCGCCAGCCTCCTTGACTAAATACCATGTGGGTGCCGCCTCTCTTTTTGTTACAGGGTTCAGAGGGTCTGAAAGAACATCACTGTCCAGCCAAAGCATTTCTATAAGATATAGACTTTAGTTAAAAGCCTTTGCTTTGCTGGTACTAGAATCAGTGGTGTTCTTTGCAGCAGCAAGCATCTTTATAATGTGAATGCTACAGACTTTTAAAGAGTCTTTGCAGTGGCTGTTAAAATCTCTTAACTGAAGCTCTGTGAAGGAGATAGGGATCTGAGGGACTCCTATTTGAATATATTCCCCAGTTTGATCTGGCCTGTTTTCATTCAGTAGTCCAGACCAGTAGTTTTCTTGACCGTATCACTTTTAGTTCGTTCTAAAGCATGTTTGTGTGTGCTGTCGTCTCTAAAGGTAGTGGTTACAGCAGCAGCAGCAGCAGCAGAAGCCGCTCTGGAAGGGACAAGTATGGACCTCCAGTCCGTACAGAGTACCGCCTCATTGTGGAAAACCTGTCGAGCCGCTGCAGCTGGCAGGACCTCAAGGTAAGCCTTTTTTTTTTTTTTTTTTTTTTTTCCTCCTCTCATTTACTTCGTCAAACGTTGAATACTGAAACTCTAAACACGTCGTTACATTTGTGTCTGTCTCGTGAAGGACTTCATGCGTCAGGCAGGCGAGGTGACGTATGCCGACGCCCACAAGGAGCGAACCAACGAAGGGGTGATAGAGTTCCGGACTCACTCTGACATGAAACGGGCCATGGACAAGTTAGACGGCACAGACATCAACGGGCGAAAGATTCGATTGGTGGAGGACAGACCCCGCAAACGAAGGTCTTACTCTGGCAGCCGCTCCAGGTGGGATTACTCATGGATTTCAAAAAATTTTAAAAATTTTTCTTCTGGAAAACAAGCTTCTGATATAAAATAAATAAATAAAAAACTTAACTTGAGATGTCATGTGTTTGATTCCTCTTCTGTCATCAGATCTCGAAGTCGCCGCCGCTCCCGCAGCAGAAGCCACAGGAGCTCAAGGAGTCGCTCCAGATCTCACTCCAGGTGAGTTCAGATTGAAATGTTTTGAGTCAGCTGTAAGAGTTTTTGTTTTTGTCAATCTGAGCAACTCTACAAAATGTCACCAAAATAATTTTTTCTCCCCATTAGGTCCCGTTCCCGTAGCAACAAGAGAAGGCATCATTCTCGCTCGAGGTCTGAGAGGAAGTCTCGTTCCAAGTCGGGAGAACGGAAATCGCGCTCTCGCACCAACAGATCTCGTTCTGGGTCCCACAAGTCCAAATCTCGCTCGCGCTCACAGAAATCTCGTTCCCGTTCAGCCGACCGGAAATCAAAGTCCCGCTCCAAGAGCCGCTCTAAGGTCAAGTCGGAGCGGGATTCTCGTAGCAGATCCAAGGAGATGGATGTTGGTGCTGGTGAAGACAACAACAAGAAGTCCCGCAGCCGTTCAGCTTCCCCTGTAGAGAATGGGAAAGAGGAGCGCACTGCCAAATCAGCATCCCGCTCCCCGTCCCCACAGGAAGACGAACGCCGATCTAAATCCAGAGAGAAGCGCTCAGCGTCCCGCTCAGTCTCCCGCTCAAGGTCTCGTTCACGATCTAGATCAGCCTCTCAAGATTAGATGTGGAAAATGTTTTTCCCCTCCTTTTTTTTTTTTTTTTTTTTTTTTTTTTGTTTTGTTTTATTATAATGCTGTAAATAACGAGCGGTGTCACAGGCTTCTGCTTCCTTACCTTTTCTCTTCAGACTGTGCTGTTTTGACATGCCATCAATAAATGCACATTGTCAGGGCCGTTTTTGGAAACCTGCCAATGTAAAAGATGATTTCTGATCCTAAGTTTTGAGTAGTCTTCCGCTTGAGACTCATTTTCTAGCCCACAGGTAATTATTTTAAGTCTGTTTTCAATAAAGTCTTTTCTGGCTTTGTACGAACAACGTTAATATTCTTTGGTCACTGTTACCAGTAAATTTGCCGTTTTCTTACTTTCCCCAGATTATATGAGAATTTTTTTTGTTTTTGTTTTAGGTTTTATGAAGTGCACAGTTATGAGTGAATAGTTGATACTGATGCAGTTTTTTTTCTCTTATTGGTCTTTTTTTTTCTTTTTTTGCGGGAGGACACAAGAGCGTGTACTATTAAACTTCCTAATTGCATTGTGAAAAGTTTGTTGTACTTTTGAACAACTTTCGTTGTAGTTGGGTTATCCTTCTTTGAAAAAATAAAATTGTTCATAAGCTGTGCTTGGATGCATTTCCCCTAAATTCTTAGAAATATTGAGGCAATGTTTAAATTGAGTGAGAGTAGACAATAATGCTGATATACTTTCCTGACAATAGCTGCTTCGGTTTGGTTACTGCCCTATTATTCAGGTTATTTTTCACGCTTGTTCCTTTCTTTTCCCCCTGGTTTGAAGTCTGATTCAGGTTAAAACAATTGAATTCGGATATTGTGCATTTTTGTTGGTGTCGAAATGACGAGCTGAATGCAGCATCGTAATTTTTGTCCCAACAATTTTATTTTTCCCCTCAATGACTAAATGAAATGTTTTTTTTAAATTGTATGTTCAATTAAAGATCTTAAAAAGAACATGTGACGTGCTTTATTGAAAAAAAAAAAGAAAAGAATTGACTGCAGTATTGACGTGACCTATATCGTGCTAATTATATAAGTGGTCTGTCTTGAAAGTGGCTCTGGCTGTGAAAATATCCTGTTCTATGATCAAATGTCTATTTAAAAAAGATAGACTATCCAGACTGGTATGCAGTTTACTTGATAAACCCGAATATGTTCACTGAAGTGTTAAAAATGGAGTGCTTGCTAAAGAAGTCCTTCTGTCGTTAGGAAAATAAATAAGCGATCAGCTACTGTGTGGTAGCTGCACGCATGCGCAAATTGAGCCCCGGAGCCGCAGGAAAGCAGCGCTGGTAAGCCAAATGTCAGTTTCCTAAATGTTGCCAACGCCTTTACTTTCACATTTATAACTATTTTAAAGCGGAGAAGGAGATAATATTCACCTCGCCTCTTAAGAACAGGCTCCGGTTTGTGTGCTTGCTTTTTTTATTTTTAAAATCTCCATTAGGTACATCCTTTTTTTTTTTTTTTACGGTATGGATGTATTCAACCAGAAGCCTTTTCGATATAAGAGGGGGGGGGAAACAATTATCTGATTAATTACCGCTGAAGACTTAGTCTTTAAAATAATAAAACTAGGCTGCTGCATTTTTGTTACTACGGTGTCCGACATGCTTAACGTTGTATGGGTAAGATAATACTAATTCATTATAGATGCTTATGGCGAAATTGGTAGGTTTCATTTTTGTATATAACTGTGGGTTTTAAAGGACTTAGTGTTTTGGTTTTCCACAATTTTTTGGTTTGTGGATTTCAGAACCTCCGCCATTTTAACTGAAATGCTGTATTTTTGTGTATGTGTGTGTGTGAACTTGAAAGCTTGTGCGTAAATATTGGCGTGTCACCATTGTTGCCTTATTTCATTGGATGTAATGGATGGTTGTTTGGAAGAAGTCATTATGGCCGTAGCTGTTTTGTAGTTTTATGGAAGTAAATTCAGCGTTCCACTATGTTATTTTTATTTATTTATTTATTTATTTTATTATTGAACCGTTATTTCTGGGCTAATTTTTATTTTGTAATAAATGTTGCTTCTGTAAACAGACAGTTTTGGCACCAAATCTAACCCAATCTTTAGACAGTCTGTAACATAAGATTAAGGTCAACAAACCCTTAAAAAGTGAAACAGGGAACAAAAATGATATATTTTCTTTTGGTTAAACATGATATTCCGTATTAATACTCCTTGACATTTTTTAAAAAATGACAAAGACCCAACATAAAGTAGTGGATAATTTGTGAAGTGTAAGGAAAATGATCTCTAAGGCATGTTTCACATAAATCTAAAAAGTGTGGCATGAATTTGAATGCAGCCCTTTTTTTTGCTCTGATGCCCCTAAATGCAATCCAGTGAAGCCAACTCACTTCAGAAGTCATCTAGTTGTGTGTAATGAGACAGATTTGCTCTGCGAGGTTTTTTGAGGCTTGCTTGGGAACATTAGTGGACAAACAACATTGCGTGAACCAAAGAACACAGTTAATGGATCAGTGATATGGTTAGGTAAAATTATAACCCTGCAGCTCAATCCATTACCACAAAGGACTTGGAATCTGATTCTTAGAGATTTCCAATCGGACTGAACCTTTGGAAACCTGAGTGCTTTGAAACTTTTTCAGAATAAAAAAATAAATAAATTTGCAAGTCATTGTAAACCTCTTAATATTTTTATTTTTTTTTACTGTTTTGTTTATTGGCTTTCCAGCGGTCCAATACAGGAAACAGGGAGCCACCAATATGAGTGGCAAAGTAAACATGGACGCTCAATCCAAAGAAGCTGATGGCACAACCACTGACCCGTCGCCCTCCCCTGCCGGCGAAACCATCCTCATCTGCGACAATGTCACCAAGAAAGCACGCGCCATGCCCCACGCCACCACCACCACAGCTCTCCTCTTGCCAGGTATAATGACACATTAATAAGCTGCCGTTAGTGTTTTAGTTCAGCTAACTCATGCTGCTTGGTTCTTACGTTGTTAAAGAAGCACAACAGCCATTTTATGGAAAATGTTAAAGGAAAACGCAGCGTTAGCCGCCACCAGCACTTCCTTCAGTNCTGAAACTCTAAACACGTCGTTACATTTGTGTCTGTCTCGTGAAGGACTTCATGCGTCAGGCAGGCGAGGTGACGTATGCCGACGCCCACAAGGAGCGAACCAACGAAGGGGTGATAGAGTTCCGGACTCACTCTGACATGAAACGGGCCATGGACAAGTTAGACGGCACAGACATCAACGGGCGAAAGATTCGATTGGTGGAGGACAGACCCCGCAAACGAAGGTCTTACTCTGGCAGCCGCTCCAGGTGGGATTACTCATGGATTTCAAAAAATTTTAAAAATTTTTCTTCTGGAAAACAAGCTTCTGATATAAAATAAATAAATAAAAAACTTAACTTGAGATGTCATGTGTTTGATTCCTCTTCTGTCATCAGATCTCGAAGTCGCCGCCGCTCCCGCAGCAGAAGCCACAGGAGCTCAAGGAGTCGCTCCAGATCTCACTCCAGGTGAGTTCAGATTGAAATGTTTTGAGTCAGCTGTAAGAGTTTTTGTTTTTGTCAATCTGAGCAACTCTACAAAATGTCACCAAAATAATTTTTTCTCCCCATTAGGTCCCGTTCCCGTAGCAACAAGAGAAGGCATCATTCTCGCTCGAGGTCTGAGAGGAAGTCTCGTTCCAAGTCGGGAGAACGGAAATCGCGCTCTCGCACCAACAGATCTCGTTCTGGGTCCCACAAGTCCAAATCTCGCTCGCGCTCACAGAAATCTCGTTCCCGTTCAGCCGACCGGAAATCAAAGTCCCGCTCCAAGAGCCGCTCTAAGGTCAAGTCGGAGCGGGATTCTCGTAGCAGATCCAAGGAGATGGATGTTGGTGCTGGTGAAGACAACAACAAGAAGTCCCGCAGCCGTTCAGCTTCCCCTGTAGAGAATGGGAAAGAGGAGCGCACTGCCAAATCAGCATCCCGCTCCCCGTCCCCACAGGAAGACGAACGCCGATCTAAATCCAGAGAGAAGCGCTCAGCGTCCCGCTCAGTCTCCCGCTCAAGGTCTCGTTCACGATCTAGATCAGCCTCTCAAGATTAGATGTGGAAAATGTTTTTCCCCTCCTTTTTTTTTTTTTTTTTTTTTTTTTTTTGTTTTGTTTTATTATAATGCTGTAAATAACGAGCGGTGTCACAGGCTTCTGCTTCCTTACCTTTTCTCTTCAGACTGTGCTGTTTTGACATGCCATCAATAAATGCACATTGTCAGGGCCGTTTTTGGAAACCTGCCAATGTAAAAGATGATTTCTGATCCTAAGTTTTGAGTAGTCTTCCGCTTGAGACTCATTTTCTAGCCCACAGGTAATTATTTTAAGTCTGTTTTCAATAAAGTCTTTTCTGGCTTTGTACGAACAACGTTAATATTCTTTGGTCACTGTTACCAGTAAATTTGCCGTTTTCTTACTTTCCCCAGATTATATGAGAATTTTTTTTGTTTTTGTTTTAGGTTTTATGAAGTGCACAGTTATGAGTGAATAGTTGATACTGATGCAGTTTTTTTTCTCTTATTGGTCTTTTTTTTTCTTTTTTTGCGGGAGGACACAAGAGCGTGTACTATTAAACTTCCTAATTGCATTGTGAAAAGTTTGTTGTACTTTTGAACAACTTTCGTTGTAGTTGGGTTATCCTTCTTTGAAAAAATAAAATTGTTCATAAGCTGTGCTTGGATGCATTTCCCCTAAATTCTTAGAAATATTGAGGCAATGTTTAAATTGAGTGAGAGTAGACAATAATGCTGATATACTTTCCTGACAATAGCTGCTTCGGTTTGGTTACTGCCCTATTATTCAGGTTATTTTTCACGCTTGTTCCTTTCTTTTCCCCCTGGTTTGAAGTCTGATTCAGGTTAAAACAATTGAATTCGGATATTGTGCATTTTTGTTGGTGTCGAAATGACGAGCTGAATGCAGCATCGTAATTTTTGTCCCAACAATTTTATTTTTCCCCTCAATGACTAAATGAAATGTTTTTTTTAAATTGTATGTTCAATTAAAGATCTTAAAAAGAACATGTGACGTGCTTTATTGAAAAAAAAAAAGAAAAGAATTGACTGCAGTATTGACGTGACCTATATCGTGCTAATTATATAAGTGGTCTGTCTTGAAAGTGGCTCTGGCTGTGAAAATATCCTGTTCTATGATCAAATGTCTATTTAAAAAAGATAGACTATCCAGACTGGTATGCAGTTTACTTGATAAACCCGAATATGTTCACTGAAGTGTTAAAAATGGAGTGCTTGCTAAAGAAGTCCTTCTGTCGTTAGGAAAATAAATAAGCGATCAGCTACTGTGTGGTAGCTGCACGCATGCGCAAATTGAGCCCCGGAGCCGCAGGAAAGCAGCGCTGGTAAGCCAAATGTCAGTTTCCTAAATGTTGCCAACGCCTTTACTTTCACATTTATAACTATTTTAAAGCGGAGAAGGAGATAATATTCACCTCGCCTCTTAAGAACAGGCTCCGGTTTGTGTGCTTGCTTTTTTTATTTTTAAAATCTCCATTAGGTACATCCTTTTTTTTTTTTTTTACGGTATGGATGTATTCAACCAGAAGCCTTTTCGATATAAGAGGGGGGGGGAAACAATTATCTGATTAATTACCGCTGAAGACTTAGTCTTTAAAATAATAAAACTAGGCTGCTGCATTTTTGTTACTACGGTGTCCGACATGCTTAACGTTGTATGGGTAAGATAATACTAATTCATTATAGATGCTTATGGCGAAATTGGTAGGTTTCATTTTTGTATATAACTGTGGGTTTTAAAGGACTTAGTGTTTTGGTTTTCCACAATTTTTTGGTTTGTGGATTTCAGAACCTCCGCCATTTTAACTGAAATGCTGTATTTTTGTGTATGTGTGTGTGTGAACTTGAAAGCTTGTGCGTAAATATTGGCGTGTCACCATTGTTGCCTTATTTCATTGGATGTAATGGATGGTTGTTTGGAAGAAGTCATTATGGCCGTAGCTGTTTTGTAGTTTTATGGAAGTAAATTCAGCGTTCCACTATGTTATTTTTATTTATTTATTTATTTATTTTATTATTGAACCGTTATTTCTGGGCTAATTTTTATTTTGTAATAAATGTTGCTTCTGTAAACAGACAGTTTTGGCACCAAATCTAACCCAATCTTTAGACAGTCTGTAACATAAGATTAAGGTCAACAAACCCTTAAAAAGTGAAACAGGGAACAAAAATGATATATTTTCTTTTGGTTAAACATGATATTCCGTATTAATACTCCTTGACATTTTTTAAAAAATGACAAAGACCCAACATAAAGTAGTGGATAATTTGTGAAGTGTAAGGAAAATGATCTCTAAGGCATGTTTCACATAAATCTAAAAAGTGTGGCATGAATTTGAATGCAGCCCTTTTTTTTGCTCTGATGCCCCTAAATGCAATCCAGTGAAGCCAACTCACTTCAGAAGTCATCTAGTTGTGTGTAATGAGACAGATTTGCTCTGCGAGGTTTTTTGAGGCTTGCTTGGGAACATTAGTGGACAAACAACATTGCGTGAACCAAAGAACACAGTTAATGGATCAGTGATATGGTTAGGTAAAATTATAACCCTGCAGCTCAATCCATTACCACAAAGGACTTGGAATCTGATTCTTAGAGATTTCCAATCGGACTGAACCTTTGGAAACCTGAGTGCTTTGAAACTTTTTCAGAATAAAAAAATAAATAAATTTGCAAGTCATTGTAAACCTCTTAATATTTTTATTTTTTTTTACTGTTTTGTTTATTGGCTTTCCAGCGGTCCAATACAGGAAACAGGGAGCCACCAATATGAGTGGCAAAGTAAACATGGACGCTCAATCCAAAGAAGCTGATGGCACAACCACTGACCCGTCGCCCTCCCCTGCCGGCGAAACCATCCTCATCTGCGACAATGTCACCAAGAAAGCACGCGCCATGCCCCACGCCACCACCACCACAGCTCTCCTCTTGCCAGGTATAATGACACATTAATAAGCTGCCGTTAGTGTTTTAGTTCAGCTAACTCATGCTGCTTGGTTCTTACGTTGTTAAAGAAGCACAACAGCCATTTTATGGAAAATGTTAAAGGAAAACGCAGCGTTAGCCGCCACCAGCACTTCCTTCAGTAGATCCCTTTTGGATCTGTGTAGTTTCACTGATCACGTCCTCCTTCCTCCCTTAAACAGCAAGTTGATTTATTTTAAATTATTTATCCATATCCAGAAAAAATAACACTCTGTCACATATTTTAGGTGTCAGTTTCTGTTTTAAAATCAAGCACGTTTAGGTTATGTAACAACAGGATGATCTGAACTCCATTTCTAATCATCTCCTAAAATGCAGTGGCCTAGATAAAGTCTGGACCTTAGATGTGGTGGTGTGACCCGAAGCAGATTTTTCAGCGTGGCTGAATTTAGGCAATTCTGCAAAGAAGAGCAGGCAAAAAAAAAAAAAAAAATCCTCCACAGTGATTTTAAACACTTACTACAAGTTTCTGATTCATCTGAATTGTTGATCATCTGAAACATTTCAGGATAACAACAAAGCAAAAACAATAAAAAGAAGAAAAAAATCTATTAGATTTTCTAATAGAAAAATCTATTAAAATTGTAATCTATTGTTTTAGGTAACTTTTTAATAATTATATTGGCTTGGAATTGCACTATTAGACCAGTTGGACTATTACTGTTGTTACTGAAACATATGAAATAAAGTTAAAGTGGATTTAAATTGTACCTGTTTGTCATGTAAAATGAACAGAGTTTTATTTTTGTTTTCACATGGCCATGGAAAACTGAGATGAATGGAAAAATTAATCTTCAGGAAAGAAGATTGCATTTTGAGAGTAATTGATAGAGGTCTTGATATTGGGGTCTGTAAATTGAGTTCACATGGTTGCGTCCCAGGTTCTTTAAAATTACATGTATGACACATGATGTAATTACCTCTATCTTAGCTAATAGAGATATTCCTTTTTCTGACCTGACGTCAAACAGTTTCTTTCATTGATCGCGGTAAGAAACGACCCACTTACAAGGGATGCACGTTGTGTTTCCTGCAGCTCCTCCTGGTCACCAGAAAGTGGAACTGACTCAAGCCCTCGCCGTGGCAAACCCAGGAAAAGGCAGCAGACCAAATGAGATAGCTGCTCCCACCCTGACAGCACAGGTTGGGGGGGCTTGTAGCATCGTCCATGTCCTCGAGTGGAAGGAGGGGATGGCCATTCTGCCCAGTAGCAACCTCAAGGTGAGATCCTATTTCTGATTTGATGCTTTGAAGTGTTCAGTGCGCAGAGAAACAGAAACAGAAGGAGTTGTGTTAACAAAAGCAGCTTCTCCTACATGTTTAGTTAGCTGCTTTTCTACATAATGCGATTCATCTAATCTTTTTGTGGAGCAGAAAGAGCCAGAATTATATCAGACATAGTTTTACACATCCTGTGACTGCATCAGAAGCCGAAAGTCTGACTCATTTTCACAAACGGGCCCTCTTCTGTGCATGTTGCAGTTCTGCGTGAGCGATGTAGGCACTCTGAGCACGCTGATAACCCCAGGGGCCACCAGCGGCCCCACCGACCCAGCAGCAGGGACTTCTGGACGATCTATCGAGGCAGAAAGCCTGCCAAACAAACCAGGTAGAGTCACCAAACCACTGGAAACAAAGACAAAATACAGCATTTTAATGAAAACGCTTCACTTTTTACACCGTATAAAAATAAAAACGGCCCAGATATTACAACCAGGACAACCCTTTATTATGTTAGACTAATCCAGAGTGCAAACTCAGCATTTTTGACATAAATGCTCAAAAAGATATTTTACAATTGGAATAAAATTTCGCAGACCATTGAAAGGCCTGTAATGCATGAAGAATAATCTAGTTGAACTTTATCCAGTTTATGAAATAAAGTTTTCATTGGTGTAAATATCAAAAATACCAAGACAATTGTTCACTTTTTTATATTTCCACAAATGCATTACAGCTTTCACAGATCATAAACGTAGTTTAAAATAACGTTTTAACCTGTGTTGAACGTTCCTGCTGGAGGTATGACCAGTCTAGGCATTTTACATTTTGAACTGAATTTGGTAAATATTGTCTAAATGCTTGTGAAGCAGTAAAATAGCCATTTAGTGATTCGTCCAGCTGGTTGCTGTGAACGGGATGCTGCCTCAGCCTTACTGTTAAAACTAGCTGATTGAACCATAAAACTGAATAGATTAATGTTGCTCATATTTGAGTAATTGTACATTTAGAGATAGTTCTGATTGATTTCTGGAGCTAAACAGCAGAAAATGAGCTGCAAAATCATTTAAATATGGGGTTATGTCACTGAACCAAGCAGCATTAAATACCGCTAAGTGTATTCCATTTTGCCGCCGGACTGGTTACACCGACACACTGCTGCTTCCTGCATACGTATAATACTTTCTCCGTTCAGTGATCCTACTGTGCGCGCGCTGAATGGAGCGCAGATGAGCAACAATTACACGAGCTGCAGCAGAGCTCCTGTGGAGAAGTCAAGAGGCTGCAGCTGCATGCCCACAACGTCGTTCGGCAGTAACAAGACAAATGCGGTTTTCCGTGAACTGGATATGAATTTTTAATTCCTCTCAGCCCCAGAAGCGTCTGTCCCTGTCGGTACCGTGAGAGCCGCCGCCGCCGCCACCGTCGCTGCTGCTGCCGTGGAGCCAGAGAGGCTGGTTCCTGTCAAACTCGAGGCCCAGGTGGGGCCGGAGCAACAGAACCACGATCCAAGAGCACAAAGGAGCTATGCAGAGGAGCTCCGCAGGGACCCCGTCTCGGACAAGTATGCTTTCAAAACAAACTTTGAGTGTTTTTGGTCTCATGATTCAAATTCATATTTAATCAAATTTACTTCATTTTGACCCAGTTAAACCAGTTCTAATCAACCAAACACATTCAGTTCAAACAAATTTTCTTTCAGCGTATCGCATTCGATCAACGAGTGCAGCACATTTTGGTCAAAACTTGAATTCAGTACAAAACAGCGCAACTCATTTCGTTTCCTGAAGGGAAGTGAGATATTTTTTTTGCATCGCGTTTCTCATTTGTCTTAGGAGAAGTGTCAGTGTGGAGAAGGTGCCTGCAGGTGGGAGGGTCTCCTCTCTGAACCCAGACCACCTGAAACCCATGAGGAAGAGGAAGAGGAAGGAGTACTTGAGTCCGTCCGAGGAAGACTCCGACATGGAGGGAACGGTGGGACGGCACTTCGCTCTCTGTTTGCTCTTCATTTAGTGTGAAGCTGCTGCTTCTTGTGGGATTTGATAGGTTTCAGTTTCAAGATGTTCTTTCAGATAAAATATCTTTTTTTCTTTCCTATAAGAGAATTTCTGTTTTTAATTCATTTCAAACATATTTTCTAGGATGAGAAGATGGATTATTCTAAAGCAGATGGTCGACTCATCAGAGGAGGTTATTGTTTCCTTTTCCCATTCACGTGCTTGAAAATGCTGGATTTAAATTTTAAATTTGCAAAGTGATGTGATGAATAAAATAACGGATAATAATTTGTTAATCTCAAGATTTTTAGAGCTGACTCCTTCGCTTTTTCGGCCTTCTTCCATTCCAGTCAATATTTAATTATATCTATTATTCTTCTCTGTCAGTAGTTTCATTTTATTCCTTTAACAAAAGCTTTATCTCATAAAGAAATACTCTTGATTTATTTTGTTTCGAGAAGGTGGAGACAGTAAAACTGAACAATGGACCTGGACTCAGTATCTGGAGGAAACCAAATCTGTTGCTGCTCCCAACAAGCTCTTCCATGAGGTATCCTTCCCTTTCTTTTTATAACTTGTAGCATAAATATAATAAAGCAAATCATCCAAGAATAAGAGGACATATAGGAAAAAATATTTACCTTTTAGATTTATCTTACATCATATTTCTCTGGAGTTTGAGGGGGTTTCTTTTTTTAAAGAGAACGTGTTTGCATTTTGTATTTTTAGTCTGTTTTTAAATGTCCTGGTGTGTGTAAGTGTGTGTCCATATGTGTGTGTTTGGACAAGGACGATGCAGAGTTCTCACCCTGCAGCTGCTAAGCAACCAGCTGGCATGTAGATATAACATCAAATGTAATCCAATCTGATTCACTCTCTCCTGCAGTTCTGCAGCAGTCAGAGTTGTTTCTTTATTTTTATTACTTTAATTGTATAGAAAAAAGTGTAAAGTATTGTTAAGTGCCATGAACTATAACTTTTATAGTTCTAAGTCACATCAAAAGGCATATTAAAAGCAATTATATTTAAATAAATCCCTCCAAAACAATCAACTTGAATAAACATAGTGTTCATAGTTGATGTCTCTTGAAAAACTGCCTGTGGTTTGATGTGAAATTATGAAAGTTGAGTTTTAGTTCTGCAGGTAAAGACTTTTACATACACAGGAGTTTGAGGTTATCACTAAAGATAAATCAACAAAATATCAGTGGGAATAAATGAAAACATTTTCAGGTTTTTTTTGTTGTTGTTTTTTAGAAAACTAATAATCTTTTAACATTTTATGAAGCCGCCTGTGTCATTGCCTTTCAGACATAAATCTGTTGGTTGAATGAAATTGATATTAAAACCCAATCTGCCAGACATAAGAACTTTAGTGTTAAATGTAAGAATTTGAAAAAGTTTGACGTTTAAAATGACAGAAGACTGTAGAGACTTTTCTTTACTTCCTTCTCTATCCCCTTCATTGTGTCTGATGGAAAGATAATTTAGTTCCTCTTCCAGCCGAGCGGCAGACAGCTTGGAGAAATTTGACCTCTGAATCGTCTCTTATTTCAAGCACCGAGAAACAGAAAGTCATGGATTTCTAATCCAAATCTCCTAGAAACATTAACTCACAATAACTAAAATGCTTTAGATGCGTTTTTTTTAAATGGGATTGTTCCGATTTTTTTCCCTCCTGCCGAAAAAGGGGGGCAGGTTGCATCTTTCTAAAGCGTTCAGCGTGAGATGAAAACATATTTAAAGGTTTCTGTGCATTTTTTTTTTTTTTTCAGGGGAACCAACAATTTAATCTTCATCTGTATATTTTTTATCTGTGCTGTTCAGGCGCAGAGTGTCCCCACTGTGAAGAACGGCTTCAAGCAGGGGATGAAGCTGGAAGGCATCGACCCGCAGCATCCTTCCATGTACTTCGTCCTGACAGTGGCTGAGGTGAGCCATGTGTGGTCAGGCGGCCTCCTCCGGGTTTTTGTCGCTCTAACATGTGGGTCGCGCTGCAGGTGTGCGGTTACCGGCTGCGGCTCCATTTTGACGGTTACTCTGACTGCCACGACTTCTGGGTGAACGCCAACTCTCCCGACATCCACCCGGCAGGCTGGTGCGAGAGCACTGGACACAAGCTGCACACTCCAAAAGGTCAGAGGTCACGGCGTCTGTAAACCTTATCAGTCCAACGAAACAAAATTTCACGCCCCATTTTTATTTTTTATTTTTTGGGTTCTTTTTTATTTTGACCAAATAATTCAGTTGTAAAAAAAAAAAAAAAGTTTTCTCATTTTTTTAAACGTTTAGCCAAAATGTGCAGCCTTTTGTCGATATTTATGTATTTTTTTCTATTGGAACCATATTTGGGCTTTACACAACTAATTAAAAAAGAAGAAAAACAATTAACTGAAATGAATACATAAGGATTTTTCCCCCAGTAATTAAAGGCAGGGAATAAATATACTTTTGTGTGAATGCTAGCAAAGCAGTTGCTGATATTTCTCTGTTGGTACTTGTCCATTCCTTCAGCTTAAAGGTATAAAAATAATGTTTTATAGTAATTTGTATAAAGAAGCAGTGCCGGTCTACAGAGTAAACAAAAACAGGATAACTACTTCTCAAGGTCCCTGTCTCCGTGTTGTTTCTGCAGGCTGTAAGGAGGAGGAGTTCACATGGACCAACTATCTGAGGATGACTAAAGCTCAAGTTGCTCCCAAAGAACTTTTTGCCAGTCCTGGGCGGGTAAGTGCCTCTCCACAGTATGATTCCTGCTGCGCAAGCACCAGGAGCCGACAGGCTCAGCGCCAGGAAACTGAATTGCTTTTGTTATGCATTTCTGAGTTCAATAAATGTTTGTGGAATTTAGAGAGAATGTGTTGCTTGAAATAAGAAGAAATCTCTACATCAGAAGCCCTTACTTTGCAGTTTTTATTTTGTCTTAGTTAATCCCGACATGTTTGTCTGTAAGTTGAACAACATTTACCGATACCTTCCTGTTCTTCGCCCTCGTTGCTCAGATGGATGTAAAGTGCGGTTTTGAGACAGGAATGAAGCTGGAAGCCGTCGACCGGATGAATCCCTCACTCATCTGCGTGGCAACCGTCACGGACGTGGTCGACGACCGCTTCCTGGTTCATTTTGACAACTGGGATGATACATATGACTACTGGTGAGCTCTTGGACTCTGCTGGTCATCTTGGCCTTTTTGTCTTCTGTTTGGTTATGCAATCCCAGTGAATATTTTTTTTACAATTCCTTCTCTTATATTAGCAAGTCATTTTTGTTTTTTCTGATTTTAACCTGTGCAGGTGTGATGCCAGCAGCCCGTACATCCATCCTGTTGGTTGGTGTCAGGAGAGGAACCTTCCGCTAACGCCGCCCCAAGGTGACCAGCACAATATTACCAGTAATAATTACATCTATTTTCAAATACCCAAAATAACCACATCTATCCATCCTTCATGTTCTTTGCATTGTTCTTGTCCACCTTTTATTTTCATAAATGAAGCACCTGATCTGATTTCTGAAAATGTGGTTTAAATCCGTTTTACACCTAGACATTATTTTCTTATGTTTTTTTCCCCCATGTATGCTCTAAGAAGTTCTAATTAAAATATCACGAGGTCTTAATATGACCTTTGGACATGCTTTGTTCGCAGTTGTTGAACAGTTGTTGTTGGCAGGAAGTGAAAAGTACATATTCACACCATAAAAAGTGTTTTCTGCTGCACCAGATTACCCCGATCCCGGGCAGTTTTCCTGGTCTCGGTACCTGGAGGAGACCGGCTCCAAGGCTGTGGCTGCCGACGCCTTTAAAGTGGTGAGAATATTAAGAAAAACAACAACTGTTTTTCTTTTTTTTTTTTCTTCTACTTTTTAGAATACGTTTGATGTGTTTGCTGTAAGTTTGCTCGTTTTGCAGAGGCCGCCTCACAGCTTCCAGCCTCAGATGAAACTGGAGGCCGTGGACAAGAGAAGTCCTGGTCTGATCAGAGTGGCGACAGTGGAAGAAGTGGAGACTCATCGCATTAAGGTAGCACTCTTCGTCTGAGTAGTGCGTCTGTGTGATTTTATAAACTTATCTATTTGACATAACATTTTGCAGTCGACGTTTCAGGCTCGTTTTGAGTGTTTGTCTCGTGACTTCACTTCTGTTGGTTTCTCCTTTCCCAGGTGCATTATGATGGTTGGAGTCACGTCTACGACGAGTGGATGGACTCAGATCACCCAGACATCCACCCAGCAGGGTGGTGCGAAGCGACTGGCCACCCTCTGAAAGTTCCTCCTCGCGACGCTAAAAGTCAGCAGCCGCATGGTAACGACATGAACTTACGACTCTGCGTTGCTTTGAAAGCTTGTTCGTTTCTATTTAGTACTGTATCCTTCCAGATTTCTTCCCTTTTCACGTTTTTTTTTTTTTTTGCTTCTTAAATGCTTATGTGAGGAAATTAGGTAAAGATCATACAAAAAGTGTTTCTCAAATTACGACTACATTTATTAAGAGAAATAGCTTTCCAAACCACTCCTCCTTTTTAAGTCTTAAGTTTAAGTTTGATTACAGCCAGACTTGTAAAGTGAAGATGCAAATTAAAAATAAACTGACAAGATGAAGCAGACCAAAACGTCTCAAAAGCAACACATAAAGTTTCAGTCATGGATGAGAAACAAAGTAATTTAGATCGTCGTTTTGGGAAGTGTTACAAAGCCGTTTCTAAGGCTCAGAGTCTGCAGTGAGCTACAGTGAGAGCTGTTGTCTGCACATAGAAAAACTATGGAACAGTTAATGAAAAACTAACTGAAGCATTTTAGATAAAGGGACGTTGAAGACGGTTTAACACGTGAGGACAGTGTTAAACTGGAGTTGCTTTGCTGCATTATTTGCTGTTACTGAAACTTTAAAGAAGAAAACCCTGAAGCAAAAAGTTCAGCTATTGGTTCATGATCATAAAGTTAAGTGAGATGTGGTTTGGATTAATGTGACCTAAGAAGGTCATCCAGAATCCTGCTACGTGGCAGAATTAACCCAAATCTGGAAAACAAAGTGGGCCAAAACTCCTCCTCAGTGACGTAAATACCTTATTGCGAGGTCTCACACATATTTGTTACCAGTTAGTATGTTTAGATTTACTTTTTCACATGTGAAAACTGCATTTTGTTTTCACCCAGCTTCTATTTTTAGGATTAAATTGATGACCTGAAATATTTAGAAGTTTTTTTTTTTTTGTTTGTTTTTTTTGTTTTGTTTTTTTAAGGCAAAGACAGAAGAACTCTGCAATGATGAAAATTGATCTTTACAGGATTTAGGATAATACCATGTTTGTTCACTGTTTATGTGGTTATTAACCATGTTTTTTTTTGTAAACATTGAGGTGTGAGAGAGCCTCCTGCTATGGGTCAGAACACCTACCCCACCACGGTCCCATGCAAACCCATCAGCCACCCCAGAACCAACAAGTACAGTTTCCACAACAGGTCAGAAATGAGTTAAGCTGCTCATCTAGTCATATAACAAACTGTTTGCTTTGAGCTGAAGCATAACAACGCATCACTGAAGAAAAGCAAGAATCTAGAGCAAATTGTTGAGCTGATAAAAGTAAGAATTGATCTGTTTGAATGCTACCAATTAAAATTGAAGCATAAATATGTTTATTATATTTATATCCAACACTGGAACCATTTCTTTCTATTGTAAAATCTAAAAATGTCAACATATGAAAAATGTATTCATAACCAATCATTAAGTGTCTTGATGTGGAAACTGAAATGATGAAAAAAACCCAAAAAAACAACCCCTGTAATTTATGTAGCAAGTCCTTTAACTGTTCTGTTTCCAGATTTTCATTTGGGGCTCTGTCTTTGAAACAGGAAGTGCCCAACCCCGGGTTGTGATGGTTCAGGTCACGTGACCGGTCGGTTCACAGCCCATCACTGCATATCTGGCTGCCCATTGGCCGAGCGCAACCAGGGAAGGCTGAAGGCCGACCTGTCGGACTCTGAGTGCAAGAGAAACCTCTTCATCGGCCAGAGGACTAAGAAAACTCATTACCGTGGCAGGTAGAAACCCGTACGCATAAATATTTGTGCTTCTAATGACTGGAAGTTTTCTTTGAGTGTAACAAGGATATTTTCTTGTCTTAAGGATTGGCCGTCCGCCCAAATACAGAAAGAACCAACAGAGGGATTACCAGAGTAAGGATTTGTCTGTTGTTTCTACGTCTGAGATGAACAGCAGTATAAGCATCATTGGACAAATGTCTCTAAAACTGAATTAATTAGACACCAGAACAGGGGATAAACCAAAGATAGCATTTTTCCTTTTGTCAAAGGATTTATGTTTATTTTTAAAATCTTTAACCTTGTTCCTGTTGAGCCATTGTTTTTTTTTACCCATGTAGCTTGTTTTAGTCCCCAGTCCATTCCCTGTTCTTTTTGTCCAGACATGTCCTCAGAGGGAGTGTACCCGTCCCTGTTCATGTCGGCTCTGACCGGTCAGTCCGACCGGACTCTGTCTCTCTGCTGGGAGCAGCACTGTAAGCTGCTGCCCGGCGTTCAGGGCATCCATGCCAGCCAGGTGGCAGCATGGAGCGTCGATGAGGTCGGCCAACGTCACAGCTCACCTTTCTTCTCATGGAGTCATTACTGTCTCTGTTTTGATCGTTCGGAACGTCTTCGGTGGTTCTCTGCAGGTCTTCAGGTTCGTCCAGAATTTGATTGGCTGCGAAGAACAGGCTCGCCTCTTCAAAGAGGAGGTACGACCGCCAAATGATATAAAAAAACAAAAAACAAAACAAAAGACGCACCGATCTCTACTGTCGGCAAACAAACCCTGTCGTTAACTTCTGCCCGTGTTTCTCCAGATGATTGACGGGGAAGCTTTGCTGCTGCTCACCCAGACCGACATCGTGAAGATAATGAGCATCAAGCTGGGGCCCGCCCTCAAGATCTCCAACGCCATCCTCATGTTCAAAACCACAGACGAGGGGCTCAAGTGATATCACCTCCGCTCACCGGAGCGAGGCGTCAATCATCGTGTGCCAAGTCCATTCTGTAGCAGGGCCAGAGAGGAACCCTGAATACGTTTTTCCATGTGTTTGGTGTCTTGTGCCCATCAGAGAGAGGGATGGGAAAAAAAGGGGGAGACGGGAGTAGATCGGAGAGAAGCAAAGCTGAGAAGGTTGGACGGAGGAATCCTGAGATGTTTAGAAAAATTGGTTGAAAAAGGTAGTTTTGCTAAATTTCTTTGGTAGGTTGTTGCCAAACACTAAGACATCTGCATCACAGAGTTGTCATCTGTGGCGTGTTTGGCTAAAACTTGAAGTCTGCACAGCTTTTCAAGCTAAACTTCAGTTTTGGCTATGAATGGGGGGGGGGAAAGCTGAAGTGTTTTGATGACAGTATTGTTAAGCCAGCACTAGAGACAAACAGCGACTTCCTGTACGAGAGGTCAAATTCGACATTCGACACAATAGCTGGGTTTAGTAGAAAGTATTGCAATCGAAAAGTTTACGTGGAATCCAGATTTGAACAGAGGGAAGAGAAAGAGGGGCGCGGTTTAAAATAAAATACAACGACGCAGACGAAACACCTGAATCAATATACTTGTATAAAATGACAGAAAGAAAACTGAAAGAGATGGGAGAAGTGGAGAGTCTAAAACGTGGGTAGAAAAAGTAAGAAGGAGGTGTTAACTGCAGTAAATGAGGCCGGATAGTGAGGCCTCTGCAAGCTTCACATTTTGTGCAATAATAAATTCACAAAAGGGGTCTGCTTAGAAACAGATGCCTAACTGTTGCTTGGAAACAGTATAAAATAAAGAATACAAATAAGCTACTTTAGTCAGTCTGTTTCATGCACAGAGAAACTCAAGTATTACTTATAATTAGAAGTTCAAGTTATTTGTACCTAAATGTCTCCATTGAGAGTTAGAAAACAGCACAGGCTTTGACTTTATATCTCTACTTGAAAAAAAAAATCTGAACTTATTTTTTCCTAATGGAAAAACGAAAAACAAATCCGCGTTTTAGCACAATTGTAAAATCTGGACGGTATAATAACAGTACCACAAGCCGTCACTAGAGAGTGCAGAAATCCACATTTAGCACTATAAACATATGTTTGGTATCTTAACAAGTTTACTTGTGGTTGGCACTCCGTTCAGAGTGCGCATATGTTTACATTTTGTGTCAGAGGTTGGCTGAAACACTGTATGAGGTTGAAATTGTGTGAAAAGAGTTTTATGTTTTAAGGGCTTTCGGAGTATCTGTTTGTCTCTCTGGTGGGATTTCTGTATGTATGTCTGCGTGAGAGTGTGCGTGTGTGCGCGCGTGCGTGAGCGTGTGCGCGTGGAAGCAAACGAAGATAATCTTGAGTCACAAACGCCATTCAATACATACACAATAATAAACATCCAACCCTGTCTTGTCTATTCTCATTTTCTTGTCTCGTTTGAGTCTTGAGGAATAGCACTTCCTTTCCTCGCGCCGGTTTGTGTCCAGAATACTATTGACTATAAACTGAGTTTGCGTGCATCGTATCCCCCTATTGGCCGTATTGTCGTCAACATTTGGCTGTGGATGGTGACAACTCCTTCCACGCCCTTTTGGTCTTCACTGCTTATCGTTTTGTTCCACAGCGGCAGCCAGGACGGTGCTGATAAACCAGCCATGCCACAGACCAAACGCTGTCTGTCGGTGTGCCAGGTGCTTCACACAGGAAGAGGGCCAAACAAAAGGCTCTAAGATAAATACGTAGATTTTCATCTTCGAGTGTGACTTTATTTCATTGATGACCTTTTTAAAATGTACCCGCTTAAAAGGCAAGAAACTGTTCCCCCTTCAAGTTATTATTTTCAATTATCAGATCTCAGAGATTGTGTCTGTCATGATTTCCTGGAACTTTAAAATTCAAGAAGATTAAAAATCATATATATAATTTAAAAATATATATATTTATAAAATTGTAATTTATAAATATTTTTATTATTTCTTTCAAAGTCAGAAATTTAAATATACTAAGAATACTAAAGAAAATCTGGAATCTACATTATAGGTGCCGTCTCAAGTTGCAACCTTATTATTTTAATAATGACATTCCTTAAAAATAGCTCAGTCTAAAAGAATATGTCACAGATGCACTTTGCTGGAATTAATGCAGCTTTCGTCAGGACCTAAATTGTGTTTTGGACATTTTTATAGATTTAATTTTATTATTTCAAAACTACTTAATGCGTAGATTTGGGTCATTTTAAAAACAGTTAAATAGCTACATAAATATTTTTTTGATAACAAAACGTTGACAGAGTGCTTTTAATTGTTTTGATTTCATGTAATTTGATTTCTTTTCCCAAAAAAACAAACATATTTGTTTATATTTTGTTGTTGACAATCAGGCTATGTCGCTGCGGACCTCTTATTTTGAAATCCATCCGCAGCCTTAGGAAGCGTTGATCTGTTTTCTCTGAAGACTTCGCCTCGCCCCTTTCTAAACTCTGTAACTTTTCATCAATGATTCACTGCGTCGGACTCGACCTGCTGACCTTCCCTTATGTTTTAAAAAAACAAAACAGACACGCTCAGATGAGCCTCAGGCCGAGTCGTGCTTTCAGTCTCCCCGGACTCCTGAGCTAAAGAGCAGCGGGCCAACACACTCATCTGCTCCGCTGCACCGCAGGTAGGCAAACTTAAAGTTACACCGTATAATAGATGTAGTCTATTCTGTTCTGTAAGACTAATACGATTTGTTTTTGTTCGTTTTGTTTTGGGGACTACACGATAAACCCTTTTTTAGATTTTACATTATGGTTTTTAATTATCTGTGTTTTTACCTAGAAGTTTTAAAAATAATAATAGTATATTTTTGTGTTAGTAATGTTTAACAGAACTTAAGCTGTTACACATGCTCCTCTTTATGCACCTGAGATAGGCTTATCACACCTTCAATTATATTTTTATTACAATTCTGATGAACAGTTTTGAAGCTGATGTTGCAATAAAATCGCAGGTTCATATTTTACTTACATGTTTTACGACAAAGTTTGATCTTGATATTGATTCCTTATTTCAACGAGATTCCCCATTGTTATTATTATTATTACAGATTAGTTGTTTTGACCAAGTGCAGCTTATCTTTGAAAGATTAAAGAACTCCTATCGCAGCCAGTCTCACTATTTTAATATCATAATATGCTGTTGTTTAACTGCTCAATTCACTTATGCTCGATATGCATAATTTGCATTTTGTGCAAGTTGCCCACAAAATGCAACGGGACATATTTTGCGCATGTTTCTTATTATTTTAGTGCGTAGTAAAGTTTTTTTTTATCCGCATACAAAACCTGCAACGTTGCAAAGGTCCACACCAAAGTTACTTATTAACTCCCTAACAATATCCTGCTGCTTAATATGGCCGTCACATCTCCAGATGAGTTCCTATTAATACATAAACAAATTATATTATCAACAGCAACACCCGTCTCGTTGGGTCAAGCTGAGCTTTCCTTATTTACGTTATTATCGGCTTGCCAGAACACCGTGTACCGTGTTGCCATGTAGCTGGAGGTGTTTGCAGTGCCTCCATCCAGGGGCCCCTGAAACGGAGCCAAACAGATTTGACTTTGCTTCACTCGCCTGTGCCACCTTCATTATTTTTGCTTCAGCAGCAGCTAAAGGCATCGGTGAATAGATATTTATAGTGCTGGAAAATATACCTCCTTAAATATTGCTTTTGTTTTAGGCTTTTTGTCAGACTGAAATGCTAAAGGTTATAAAAGACATTTTGGTATCAGGCTGAGTAAATAGAGAAAAAGAACATTTCAGAGAATTTCATTTGTTAAAATGAAAACCATCCAAACCAACCAGCCAACCTTATGAGAAAAAGTCAATCCCTCACTTGTTAAGCTAGAAATGAATTTTCTTTTTGGGAAACTTTGTTTAGTTTCACTCCAGCTTGACTTTTGCCCATTATGTAAAATCAAGAAATTTCTTCAGTAGAACCTCGCCAACACTAACAGCCTTAAACAAACAAACGAGAAAGAAGGTCATTAACAGTTGCCAGTCTGGAAATGTTAGGTGATTTTTCACAGGAGTTCCGGGGAATTACTCCAATTAATGCAATGAATAGTTTTTTTCTGCAATGGATAGTTTTTCTCCATTAATCCAAATAATAAACATGCCATGTTTCCACATGCCTTTGTTAAAAATGAAGAAACAGTTTAGTCTTTATAACGCCAGCTGTGTTGTAGGATCTCCTTCGAGGCCCAGGGAGGATTCTGTCATGAACAGAGTCCTGTTTCCTGTCCTGGAGAGAGAGAGAAAAAAACTGAAATAAGAAGAAGCCTCATATTCATAAATTAGTTTGCATGATCATGTGGGAGGGAATTGTAGACTTTTTCAGCTATTTGTTCCATTTGGGCACATTGTTATGTTTGGAAATATGAAAGCAGGTCAGGTTAGGAAAATGTTATCAACACCTGACTGATATATATTAGAGATGTGCCGATCAGGTTTTTTCCTGCCGATTCCGATTCCGATTACCCATGAGGGCCGATCACCGATACCGAT